CGGTAGAGGTGCGCACACAGCCCAGAGCTCAAAGATGGCCAAAGATTCTCGGGCGGGGAGCCAGCAGCAAATAGAGCCATTCGGCTAAGCCAGGACACAACCGGCAGCATCCAGCGAATGCATCCTTTGGGGAATGGATCCGCAGAACAGGAATTTCCACTTCCCCCCGCCTTGACGTTCCCCCAGCAACTAATGGCCTCCCATCCACATCCATCCAGAGGATGCTGGAGCTCAGCTCCAGGCCCCACGCAGCTCACGTAGCCCCGGCATATTTAATAAACTCTGGCAAATTAAGCGAGCGCCTGCAGGCGACTCCAGGGTGGACTCCATAAATCAACAGGTACGAGGAGAGAGCCACGGCACCCCACGGCACTGTTGCACTTGCAGTTCATTAACATTATCCAGAAAGACCGAAAGGGGCTTGAACTTTGGGCACCAATTGGGGGTGGGGAAGAAGGACGGACCTAAGCCTACAATTTCTAACTCTATGGACTCTCTTCCGACTCCCGCCACCTGTTGAGCACCAAAGGGAGGAGCAGGGAAACTCCTGTGTGTGCTCTGGAAAAGTAATTTATTTGGGGAAAACTCCCGCAGGAAGCAGCTCCTAAGCACCACTGCCAGCCACATCCGGCGCAACTTTAAGCCGCATTTCCGCTCATGCAATTTTAATTTGTCAAATGCAAGCGACTCGGGCGGAGCAGGCGAAGAGGATGCTAAAATTAACTGGAAAATTTTACAATCCACGCGAGGCACCAGAGAGGGAGAGCTCAAGGATTACTACTCTCAGGGCAGGCGAGGGACGGCAGAGGGCAGACGGCTGGCTGGCAGCAGCCGAAACGAGGACGCCGCCGTCGAGCCACTCGAATTGGACCATTAGTTTCGACGGCATTAGTTTGGCGCTTTCATGGCCCAGACGCGGCAGACGACGACGACGGCAACAGGAATAAATAAGAGACGAGCAGCGGGACGCAATGTAGAAGGGGGAAGGCGGCAGGGGGCGTGCACTGGAAGCGAGTACTGGGCAGAGTGGACCACGAACCGCGGACCAATGTCGATCCCCTGGCGGAATTATGCATGTAATAAAATGCGGCGGCATCGACGGCAACTGCAACAACCCGTGCCGTGCCACGCCACGCCACGCCCCAGTCCACGCCCACTCTCGCCGCGAACGAAATTTAAGTGCATTAACATAAAAAGTGCCAGTGGGCACAGTGGGACGAGAGTAGACATGCATTCGAGAGAGGGCAGTGATGCCAAGGCGCGCAAAGAAGAGGTGACAGTGCTGCCAATCGGTGACAGAGGTGACAGTGCGGCCAATGGGTTAGAACGAAACATTCAAACGAAAGTAGTAACAGTTCTACATTTGAGAGATGAAAACATATGTATGTAGATTCTGTTCAAAGAGATGCTAAAGCTGCCAAGACGAGCCAAGAAAAGATGACAGTGCTGCCAATCGGTACGAATGCTCGGTAAAGGAGGTGACAGTGCGGTCAATGGCATAGAATGCTCGAACAGGAGAGCCAGCAACCAGTACAAAACATTTAGATTAAATTTGAGAGATGAAAACATAGATGCCATTCCAAGAGATGCCAGTGCTGCCTAAGCGTGAGAAGACACTTTTTCATGCTCTCTGGCACCAGTGTGCCTGTTTGGCCCCCGAAAACAAGATAAATAAACTTTTGTGTGCAACTGTTTTGCGCGGAAGTTTGGGGGGGAACTGTAAAATAGGGGTGTAGGGAGGGCACTACTCTGATGAGTGCAACGACTTGGCAGCACTAAGCGTCAGCATCATCGACACTTTTGGCAGGAAGCATTCGGTTCGGCTCGGGCCGAGCCTGGGCCAGACATGCCGCGCGACGTGGCACAGGAAGCTCTCGTCTGGCAGGGTGTCTCCCAGGGGCGTGTGCGAGTGTGTGTGTGTGTGTGTGTGCATCCTGCATGTGCATCCTGGTGCACGAGCCATTAACAGACTCGTAAACTGGCAGTTGCTTGTTATGTTGATTACACAACCGAAAAGAGAGGGAACCGGAGACGGGAAGAACGGACGAGCAGCAAATGGAAATAAAGTTGAAAAGCCAAAAGCTTGCACTTGAAATCCTGGAATTTGGCAGACGATCATCAGGGGGCAGGCAGATGCAGTTTCCTGTTGGGTTTACGCGGGATCCTGCTCCTCCATGGACGCACCGCGTAGGCCATCCCCCGCAAAGGATCCCCCAACAGGCACGTGCCTGTCAGCAGGGGGTCGGCCCCTCCTGTCGTGCCCCCAGGAAACCGTAGGAGATACAAACAAACAAACAGCAGAAACTCTGCTTCCTATTCCTCTGCTACTGCTGGTGCTGCTTCTGCCGCTGCTGCTGTTGCAAGAGTTGAAAGTTGAATGTCTGGCAAATGCCGCGGCAATGCCCCCGAATGCAGCAGTCACTGAAAATGCAATTCCCCCCTCTACTCCGCCCCCCCTCAACGAATCGAAGAACTTTTCACACGCAGCACAAAATCTGCCAAAGCCACTTTTCGGTATTGTTTTTTGTTGCTTTTCCAAATTTATTGCAACACTTTTCTGCCACTGCCACTGCCACTGCCACAGCTTCAGCTCCATTTTCCCCTTATCTGTCCCTTATCGTCCGTCCGTCCGTCTGTCTGTCCGTCAGTCTGTCTCTCTGTCAGTGGATATTTATCTGCCACGTTAAGTTTACTCTGCCACTGCTCCTCCACTGCCACTGCTCCTGCTGTTGCAAGTTCTCCCGCTGCTGCGATTCTTGGATCTTTTTCCTTGCGTTTCATAATTTTTCGCCTCGCGGCCAAATTGCCGTCTTTATTTGCAGCATGGAAATGCTCGAACGCAATTTCCCATTTCCATTTCCATTCCAATACACACCAGAAGGCAGAAGGCAAAGGATGGGGCATGCAGCGTCTCTCACGCGCTGGGAAAATGGTAAACGCTTCGAGATTTCTTTCACCCGCATGACATTTGCGATTTTCCGCACATTTTGCGTACTTTATTGAACTGTTTGTCACATGGCGTTTGGTATTTTGTGAGCTTTGCCACAGACACACACGCGGAGAAGAGCAGCTGCCCCACTCCCCACAGACACATGCACACATGTGGCACTCACAGTGGCTGCTGGCTGCTGGCTGCTGGCAAAAGGGCTGACTCAGTGGCCCATAGTTTCTCAATTACGAGAGAGGGAGCGAGAGCCCATCATCTTTATCGATGGGGAAAGCACTGTGGCCAAGGCGAAGCCATGTAAACTTTATGAAAATCAAATGGAAATAAAAACGGACAGCACTCATAAACAATAATACGGCGGAACACAGAACGGAACAAGCTTTCTGCTTCCTTCCGCCAGGGAAAGGAGGAGCAAAGAAGGACCAACTTAATAAAAGCAAAAACAAAAATGTATGAAATACTTTTACGACTTTCGAAGACATTTTTACAACTTGCTGGCAAGTTTTTTGCTAACGATATGAGCGCCAAGCAGCGAGAGAGAGAGAGAGAGAGGAGAGATCTAGAGAGGAGCAGCAGCAGATGCATCTGTAGGAGCCACCGTCTCCTACAGTGTCCCACAGTGTCCCGGTGTCCTGGTGTCCTGGTCAAATGGATACGTCGCATCATAAAACCGAAAGTCATTTCGCACAGAACGTGTCCGCCAGTGCCCGAGGGGCGGAGGGACGGAGGGGAGGGGCATGTGTCCAGCCAAGAAGCCAAAGTCATCGCAGCCAATAATAATTCCAATTGTAGTGCAGTGACAATTTTCTCCGACTTCTTCTCTTTTTTGGGTCCAAAGATGCACCCGCACTTTTGGCCACTTTTGGGTACAATGTACCCCGAACAATGGTCAACAGAAAGGAGCGGCAGGAGCGCCAGCAGCAGCGGAGTTTTTATTGCCCAACGTTGGCATTTTAAGTGCACCATGGAAGCATGCAACAGCAGAGCCAGAGCCGGAGCCGGAGCGGCAGAGGCAGAGGCAGTGGCAACATTATTTGGTCAATGTAGACGACATGACGCGGCCATTAAGAGCAACAAATAAGCAAACAATAACATGAGCGCGGGGGGCGGCAGGGGGTTTGGGCAAAAGTGCTTAGTGCTGCGGTCCATGTCCAAGCCATGGCTTTAATCATGGCTTAAAGGGGGAGACCCCTGTCCAAACAACACACAAATGACTTCATTCCACACACAGAAACACTCGCAAATTTATCTATTGATCGGTTCAAGATACTTTGGCTTATGAAAATTGATTGCAAACGCGCGCCGAGGGCTCCGCCGGGCATGATAGGTGGTAATGGATTGCCAGGGCTGTGGCTTGATGGCTCAAGTGCGGAGCCCCCTGGCTGAATGTCATGCCTAATCAGTAAGACATAATTTAGTTGTAGCTCTGCCCCCAGCCCCCCTCCCCTGACAGCAGTAGCCGGGGAATGGAATTCATGGAAACATAATTGAATCACAGCCTCAAAAGTTTTTTGTCACCGAAGCGAACAGAGATTTCCGTTGTCTCCAGTCCACTGTCTCCTTCCCCTCGTTTCTCCCTCGCGCTCGCTGCCTGACCAATTCATTTAGTTTCGCAAAAGCTAATTAGCAACTAAAGTGAAATTAAAGCAGAGCCAGAGCCAGAGCCAAGTCACAGACTAATGGCCTTTGTCCCTCCACGCCACGCCACGCCACGCCACGCCACTCCACGCCTCTCCACTCCCTCCAATCAGAGAGACGGAGGGAGAGGTGCTACAACTAATTAAATGCAATAAGCTATGGCAACTGCTGCTGCCGCTGCTGCTGCTTCGACGTGGAACAGGTAATGTTCTCGGACGAGTGACAACTTTGTTTTGATGCGCAGGACTCTCCGCTTCCTGTTCCTGGTGCTGTCTCCGCGTGCACCGCTTCGTGGCGGAAACTAACGAGGAACGCGCTTTAATTTGCACATTTAAGTAATTAGTTTGGAATTAGTTGGTCTGGTCTCTGCCTGGCCGTTAGTTTTAATGAATTCGCGAGTCCGGCGTCCACTCACCGCTCTTGAAGGTGGCCATGAGGCGCTCGGAGTCGGCTCCGTGCTGGCAGACAAACAGCGAAGTGTCCAGCAGATCGTTGGGCGCATACCCCAGCAAGCCCAGCATCCTGAAAGATCAAGTCGAAAGTTAGAAAGGGGTTCTCAGGGGTTCGCTCAGTGGCGGAGGAATCTCACTTGTCGTCCACGTAGGTGAAGCGCATGTCCAGCGAGTGCTTTGTGAGGAAGGTGCTGGTGCCCAGGGGTATCTCGATGTTCGAGGGGTGCGGTATGGGTCGCCCGATGGCAATGAGCACACGCTCACCCTTGCCATTGACCACCAAGTGTCCCGTGATGTGAATGACCTGCGGGAGGGTCACAGAGATTACAGATTACTCAGAGATCGCACAGACAGCGTGACAGATAGGTATCCCACCTTGTAGGTGGCACTCTTGATGTTGATGCTGCGTCCGCGGCTGGTCAAGGTGCACTTCAGGCGCACGAACAGGTCACGATGGTGGGTGCTCACCCCGGACTCGAGCTGCTGCTCGTCCTTCACGGCCGTGCCGTGGCGCTTCAGGCTGAGGGCCTCCTTGATTTCCGCGTGGTCGCACTGATGCGAGTACTCCCAGATCGGCTGGCCCAGAGTGTCGATCTGCCAAGAAGGAAACGGAACGGGTTAAAACATGCAGTAAGGGTCTACCTCCAGGATCCACTCACCTTTGTGATGCCCAAGTGCTCGACCACGTTCTCGGAGACGTAGGTGATGTCGCCCTCGTGGGAGAGCACCAGCAGGAACCCGTCCATGGTCTCCTTCAGCAAATGGCTGGCCTCTGCGGTGCCATCGAGCCACTCCTCGCTGCTCAGCTCCAGCTTGGGCTTCACCTCGGGCTCGTCGATGTCCTGCTTGATTCCCGACGGTGTCTCTTTGCAGTCGCGCAAAGACGGCACTGAAACGAACGAATATTCATGAATGATTCATGCACTCAGGGAATGACAACGAAAAAGACTCACCAAACTGCAGCATCTCGCGTATCTTGAGGAAGGCGATTGTGATGCGCATCACGGAGGCCTTGTCCAGCTGATTCACATCGTCGTTCTTGAGGGGCAGCACCTGCGAGAGCTCCATAAAGATCTCCGTCTCCTTGGAGCGGCGACAACGGGCCGCATCGCGGGACTTCTCCTTGCGCTTCTCGTTGTTCCTGAAACGGGGCACAAGAGAGAGAGGAGAAATGAGTACAGACCGCACAGATCACGTAGGCCACTCTTCGGAGAGCAAAGGGAGGCTGCTGGGATGCGTGCTGCAATCAATTGCTGCATTTGATTGGATTTGATTCAATTCCGCGCGACACACAACGGCGTTCGCAATTTTTCAATTGAGCGGCAAAAAATTCGCTTTTCTGCGAGCCTCTCGTCGGAGGCCAGAGTTCATGGCAGCCAGAGACCCCTCCAGAAAGAGAGAACGAGAGAGAGAGGGAGAGAGAGAGCCCTGACCTACCACGACTCTCAGGTATTTGTGGTTTCTCTTTTCGCGGGGGTTTAGGGAAGTGTCACCCGAGGGGGGCCTAAGATAAGATGCGTTCCCGAGAAAATCCAAAATAGCCAGCAGTCACACGTTCGACTGATAAGGCCGGCTGGCTGGCCGGAGACAGAGACGGAGACGGAGACTCCGAGTGGAAATTTCACCAGTGGGAATATTTCACCAGAAGGGAGATCTCTGCTCTGCCGCTCAACGATCTGGCCACAAGCATCTCCCTAGGGGTTTACCCATTAAAGTCTCTGAATCCCTCTCTAGAGGGGAGGACACTGACCCCACACACAGACCCACGGACAGATACTATTTTGGGAAATTCTGCGAATGGCAGAGACATACCAAAATGTTTGCCAAGAAAATCTCGTGATGCCAAAGGGGTGGGGGGGAAGCAATCCGACCAGCCCCAACATAACCCGTGTCTCCTCTACGTCAATAAAGCATATGTAATATTTATTTAGTAATTTGTTATTCATTCGCAAGTCGGAAGCTCGGAGAAGGGCGGGGTAGGGGCAGACTTATATAACCCCTAGACATGACACGACGATGGCTTTCGCACGTAGCTCTCCCGTTGCTCGTGCGGCAGACAAATCGAAAGCCCAAATTCGCCAACGAAGCACTGATCGCCCCACCCACTGGGAAGGGACAAAGAGCGGTCCCCCACCTGGCAACAGTCGGGAGCCACAGCAGTCACGCGGAGACGGAGGCGGCGGCGGAGGAGGAGTGTGCGGCCAAAGGCATTCCATATCAGCCGCCGTAAGACAAAGACAGGAAAACTTGAAACTTCAATCTCCGAAAGCCCATTGCCAGGGGCTGTCCATTATGGTGGGTTTGGGGGTGTCGTCTTGCCATTACCTCCACGAGTAGGGGGTATTTCAGTTGGGACAGTCATGCACGCGACATGTAATTCGTTTCTCGGATACTCTCGGATGGAATTCACTTTCAGGTTTTCCAATTACGATATTTCGTACCATGTAAATCTTTATTAATAGTTGAAAACCCTGAAACCATGCAGATATCGATAACACTTATCGAACTAGATCTTCCTACTAATCGCCGATAGACTATGCCGACTAACTGCAAAAACCGAGACAGCCCTATGGGAAAAGCATGCAGTGAGAGCGAGAGGAGGCTATGACGAAAAAAGGCATAGAAAGGGTACTCCACACTTCGTTGTTCAACTTGGAACAGAGCTTTAATATCTTGTTTCTTTTCGGACAGAGAATAAGAGAAGCAACCGATAAGTAGGGATTTTTCATTGTCAATCATTTTCCATCGGCTGAGGGGAAAAATACTCAAAAAAAAAAAGCAGAAATCGAGGAGAATGAAGCCTGAAATAAATGAAATGCAGCAGCCGCCGCCTTAGATAACTCTCGTATTATTTCAGAAGCCTATCAGTGGAGTATATTCGTATATTTTGATTATTTCGTGTATAAATAAATAATGTTTGTGCGCCAGAAACACGATAGCCGCGCGTGGGAGTCCCCCCATAGAAAGCGAGCGAGCGAACGGCTTCGACTGCATGCTAATGGCCTGCTTATACGGGGGACAGAGGGGGATAGTGGGGGACAGTGGGGGAGCCATTGAATGCTCATTAGAACAGAAGCAAATATTTTGCTTTTAAATATTCAGAGAGTGCCGGCCAGCGGGCGGAATGGCATTGCCATTATTGTGGCTGTGGCTGTTGCTGCTGTTAAGTATTTCCGCTCCAAAGCGCAGCCCCAAGGGGATCCGAAGGGGGTCCGATCCATGCTCCAACCGCGTGGTTACAGACCAGAACGAAGCGAAACGGAATGCTAGGCTCCAGGACAAGCCTTGAACCCTCCCACCGGGCGGGGATCGCGCTCTTCGTGGAGATACCGGGCCGGGCCGTGCTGCAGCCACTTTGAAATACAATCGGAGGCAGCCGTCTCAAGGTCATGCGGCAGTAAATAGCGGGAGCAAGAGGTCGGGGACGGGAAATGTTTGGGCGGAGCATAAATCCATCGCGGGGGTCTGCATCTGAGGGTATCTGTGGATAGTCGAGTGCGGTGTCGGCGATAACCGTGGTGTTGCACTGTACGTCAGTGGTTAGTTGCCATCTCATTAGCATTGAGACTGGGACTGGCAAACACCACATTTGCGGGCCCGAGGCGTGTGCAAAACGTAAACACGAATCTCATTTCCATTTCTGGCATCGCACTGGACGCCGCCTGAATGCAGAATGTCTCCAGGGAAGATCTGCGTCAATCCCCAAAAGAGAGGGAGAGAGATTGTTGTAAACGGAGACGACGGGCGGCCTTCCTTTGTTGCCGAAGTGCCACGTGCCCCAATAAATCATTTGGGAAACACCCAGCATACCCGTACAATATAGCGATCGAAGTAGATAACAGCAGTTCCACAACAAAAGAACACCCGCCATTCCGTAGAGTGGAAGGGTATATCCGATCATATTTATTGGCATAAGGAATATTCATGGAATGCCACAATGATTTAGGTGTGATATCTGCTTTCTGAAGAGCAATAATCCACTGATCTTCGAGGTCCTATAATTAGGTTTATTCTACGATTCCACCAGAACCCATTTACTGCCCCGGGGGTATAGTAAATTGGAGAGTATGCTAGTCCCTCATAGGAGGCTCTTTTCGAGAGCATCTTTGGGCGTGCAACACTCGCGAATGTGCCCCAGGATATAGTAGATTCATAGCAGGTATTCCTTTCTAGGATTGCATCTCTTTTCGAGTGCCTCTTAGGCGGTATCTAACAGTCGACTATAGAGCTCGCTCTCTTCGATTGTTGAATTCTTTTATCAATCAGAAGATTGTGGGAGCAACTGAGGTATTTAAAGCACCCCCACCGTTCTTGGAAGCAAATATAGACCGCAATGAGAGGGAAAGTTCCCCCCCCACACACACACCGCGTCTGTTCCGTTCCGTTCCGTTCCGCTCTGTTGGGGAAAACCTAGCGCGGACCTTGACTCATTGGAGCCTCAATTTTCAGCCTCCATCTTGCTGGCAGTCTGCGTCTTCGTCTGCGTCTGTGTGTGGGCATTCGTATCAAAATATTATTGTATTATAAAACGAACAACAAATAAGCATAGATAAGGGGTCTGTTCCGTTCCGTTTCGTTCCAACAGGTTCCCTTCGTTGGGGCTTGGGGCTGCTTCTCTGCCACTTACATAAAATCCTCGATGTCCACAAACTGCGAGAACTGGCAGGGCTGGGTGTCCGTGGGGGTGTAGCCGTAGCAGTAGGCGTAGCTCCAGGGGCGGCGGCTCTCCCGGCACGGCGTGGAGACGTTCAGCAAGCTGCCCCGCTGTTGCTGCTGGTAGAAGGCATCCTGCTGATGCTGCCCCTGCTGGTAGGGATGGTAGCGCATCCCCCCACTGGGACCCAGCATGGCGCCCACGAAGGGGCGCTGCTGCTGCACCATGGAAGGGTCTGCTGCATTGTAGAAGGTGCCGTTGTTGAAGTTCACGGCGGGCTCATGGATCGGCATGCGGCCGTACACCGAGCCATTCCCGAGGGGCAGCTGCTGGCCTGCGGCTGCCTGCGGCTTCAGATCGCAGTCGAAGAAAGGATCCTCGCCGTAGAAGGAGGTGGAGGAGACGGTGCTCTCGCCGGGACAGGAAAAGTCGCAGTTTTCCCAGGCATTGCAGGAGTTGAACATGGAATCTTTCGCTGGAATCTCTCTATCCGGCTATGCCCATCGATGATTCCGCACCCAAAAAGCACTAACGCACGCACACTCACACACACACACGCGGGCGTAGCTTCCACTGCTCTGATAACGTTACTGATAATGGCGCGTGGATTTAGTGTTATTTTGATTTGGCTTTTACTTCACTTAACGTTTTCTTTAGGCGGAGCGACTGAAAACACGGCGTACGGGAGTCCGGACTGCGAACGAGCGAAAGGTTCCCTGGCTCCCGAGCTACCATATTTATACCCGTTCCGGACGGACCCCGAAATCGCAATTAACGCGAGCGGGACAGAGAGGGAGAGAGTCTGACATTAGTGTCAGATTTTCTGCTCGTATCAGGCAGAAGTTCGCTATCCGGACAACTGCGCGGCTCCGATAAGATAAAAGAAACCGAAACGAATGGAAAACAGAACAGAATTCCGTAGTGGAGCTGGAAGCTCGCTCACCACCCGCCCTCCCGTTCAGGGAGATAACGCCGCCTGGTCGGGGAGGGGCAGGGGTGGGGGTCGGTAGCGAATTCAAATTGGAGGCACATAAATTACAACTAATATCAGTCCACGCCACTTGTCTGTTTGATAATTAAGAGCCTTCGTGCAGCGTGCACCGTGCGCCGTGCGCTGCGTAGCATACTTTGCAGCGTGGCCGGAAAAGCCCCAAAGGATCGCCTCGGTTGAAGCTGTTGCCAGGATGGAGCTGTCTGTGGCATGACTCACCCCGCCTGCAGTAGCACCATCCACCATCCAGCAACAAGACAATGACTAAATATTTTGACGGACGCACGGACGGGCCGGAACGGGCCGGGACGGGCGTGTCGTCTGACGAATCTCTTGCTTCGGCGGAGAGCACAGATTATAATTATCTATAGAGCATAATATAGTTAAATATTTAAATTAGTTTTGCAAACATGATGCGAGTAGGAAAGTGAAACAACGAGATAGCAGCGACGCGGCATCGCATCGCAACTAGAACTAAAACGAAAACTAAAATTATAACCGAAGGGCGGGAGGGGGGTAGGGACTGACAGCCCGGGGTCAAGAGCCCAACGTCTCCGGCTAAGGGAAATTATATGGTCCGTCCTGGATGTTTGCCTGAATGCTACAATGCTGTCAGTCATGGCTGAAAGCAGCATAACCCTGGAGTCGAGTTACTCCTAATATATTTATTATTCAATGGAAACCTATATATCATTCAAGTTTCATCTCAGAGGATCAGAGGATATATGTACATATAACAAATTTTTTATTAATTTATTTGTCCCACTGTAAGCCGTCTATGCGCAGGCCACACACACTTTTAAAGCAAGCACACGCGGTGTACGCATACACGAACATACACGTTTGGACATGCACCACCCCGATCTCCGTGTATGCAATAATGTTGTGTGTGCACAATATGCATGTACACGCACACACAAACCGATTTCTCGAACGCGTTGAAGGGGCATGAGTGTAACTGCGATTGGATGAATACTGTGGATTAATGCAGGCTTAAGCAACCCTCGAATTTTGAATGATCAGAAAAAACGTATTTTGTACAACTTATGGTTCATTTTCACACATACATACATATGTACATACATACTATATAGTAGGTAATAATAAACTTTCCCTGCCAGCGAAAAAAAGAATCATAATTTACACCACAAATCTTACGCCAATTGCGATGTGGGGCCGAAGTTTGGATACCCTACAACAGCAGGCATAGCGATCGGTTCATGGATGGGTGTCCCTTTCCTTTTCTTTCATTCGCTTGCCCTCGTGTGTGCGTAGCAAACTTCTGATACGAAGCGTAATGGCCCGAGGGACAGGGAGATTAAAAGGCGATTCCTCTGCCGCTGCATCATCGCTGGCTCTGCCGCTGCACCAGGTTCCATTTAATCGAAAAGAGCAGCAGCAGCCGAGAAAAGCAACAACAAAAACAGAAACCGAACAAAAAATACGAGAAGACGAGGAAATTACCAACAACAAAAACTCCACAAGACCTAATGCGGGACACAAACAATACCTCGCACGCCTCTCTCTCACTCGCACTCCACAATCCAGTGGGCTGATTCCATCCTCCATTCCCTCCCCGTGTCGTCTCATTTTTAGTTCGATTGCGCAAAAAGTAGGTCGTCGCTGGCCAGACAGAGGCTGCTGCTGCTGCTGCTGCGGCGGCGGCCCAGCAACAACAACAGCGCATATCATTTAAATATTTTACAATATACGTATGCACATGTACATGTATATGTACATATTACATACAGATATGTGTGTATGCATGTATGTGCGTGGCATTTGTATGGTGTGTGCGTGTGTTTTACTTTTGTGCGTTGGTATTGGAATTTTATTTATTGTTGAGTTGTTTTTTTTTTAAGTCTTATGCGTCGTTTTCTGCGCCTTGTCTTTGCTGTTTATTTTGAATACCTTGGCAAAAGCGTGTAAACGAATTCAAACATACTATTTCTATATAAATAATTCTCGTCTCCCCCCTTCTATTGGACCCCATGTTTATACATACTTCCCTTGCGATTAAGGTCGAGATCAGAGCTGCACTGGTGCATGTTTCGGTCATCGATAGTTGATAGTTTCGATCAATTGAAATCGATTGACGCTCGTTCCCTTAGATTCCATTAAAGACTTCCATTAGCTTTCACTAAAAACAATGGGCAAATAGTAAGTCAATTGGAGGTGTATGTGCGATAGATGGATAACCAGTTCGGAATGAATGGGGAAAACTACTGCCGCAGTCAACCGCTTTTCAGCTTTTCAGAGTTTAGCTTTGCATTGACTTTGCATTGGGTTTCCAGTAGCCTCACGTCACGTAGGCCTGAGCCCACGATTTGGTAGAGTGTAAATGTTTTAAATAAAACATAAACTTAACATTTTATGCGATCAACAAAGTAAACTTTTAAGAGGGGCGTGGCCAGGTGGAGGAGGCAGGCCACAGAATTCGAAAACAAAACACACACGAAAAAAGAAAACAAAGCACGCGGGGAAAAACAGGTTGGTTTTACAATGTACTAGGTCGGTATTCAGTGGAGTGAGGGGTTGGTTGGGCTGCGTGGATCGACATAATCGAACACAACAGGTTTTTCTTTTTCTCTTCTGATAAAAATAGTCCAAAGCACGGTTCAGGAGGCAGAGAAACAGAACAATGCATTGATCTAAAAATAAAGCCAGGACCCCGCTGCTCCTTGCCGAGCAACAAGTGCTGCCTCCTTGAGTATTTCCGCTTCCAAAGTGCGGTCGTGGATTGGTATATCGTATCATATAATGACGTGCAAACTGATACTATCCAATCCGATCCGATCCATGCATATGCATCGTGGTAGCGATTTCAGTTTTGTCTTTCGCTCGTTCAAGGTCAGGGGTCTCGGTCATTGCGTTCTCTTTTACTCGGCCTGCCTTCGCGTCACAAGCTTGTATAATTATCGCAAATGCAAAATTAGTCGAGTGTGTGATTGATGATTGGTTTTAGTTTTCTATTATTTCCCCCCTTTTATTTTGTTTTGTTTTGGATCGTTCGTCAGCAGCCACTGACGGACGCGCGATAGGAAAATCATCCTCCTATCCTATCCGCTCCGTAGGAAATTGATGCTTATCCGATGGCAACGATCGGTAGGGACGTACCACCACCCATCCACCTGATTACCAGATGAACGACCTTCCAGTCAGGACCAGTAATGATCGATAGATCGCCGATTGATAATAGCCTCCATTCCATTCCCATATCTACTACTTCCAGTTTTCAAATATGTACTTGTGCAGAAAAACGAGAGGAAAAAACGTGACGATAGCAATAGAAGGCGACCGCTACGACGCCGCACCAGTAGCAGCAGCAGCAGCAGCGGCGGCGGCGAGAAAAAGAAAGCAAGAGCTTATGCAATAGCAAAAGCAACTGATTTAAAGACATCCGATTGGTGGGTGATTGGGCGGGACGCTTGGGGACTCACCTGCGTTTCTCCTTGGGCTTGCCGCTGGCAGTCAGGTTCGATCCTGATCCTGGAGAAGCCTTGGCTAGCGCGCTGCCAGTGGCAGAGATGCTCGAAGAAGCAGCAGCGGGGTCGGCGGCGTTACGCTGTTTTTGCGCCTCCGCTGCCGCATCGATTGTAGCAATTAACGAAACCATTTTGTCTCCAATGATCAAAATGCAGCAGCATTCAAAATCTGTCGATGTGGAGAATGTGGTGGTTCCTTGATTGTGTTGTTGTTCCCTTAGTTTTCTTGTTGTTATCGGAGTGTTTTCCCCAGTCTCTTTTTGAGACTCTTCGTTGTTGCTTCTGTTGCTTTTGCTGTTTTGTTGCTGTTCTTTTCTTTTTATTTATTATCGCGTTCGGTGTTGTTGTTACTTTTTTATGTGTATGTTTTATGAAAACTAGCTGAAATTCTCTATGCGCGTGTATGTGTGTGCGTGTTGTGTTGTGTTGTGCCCGATTGGTGCCACTAACACATTCACATTCACAGTCACAGTCACTGTATTTTCCTCTTAAACTTTTGAGATATTGGGTTATTGCTATTATTTAATGCCCCCTGTGGACTTTCTACTTAGTTTTGCATTATTTCTTGCACGTCAATTACTTATTTCTGAACAAAACAACTGCTGACACGAGCACAAGGTTATTTTGATGGCACTTCGAGTATTATTATTGCACTTTGAAGTTCTGCACGGACTTGATATTCAACTCGCGATCTAACATCTCACATATGAGATTTATATGCACTTTATGCATTTTACAATGCGCTTACAGCATTTTTCGTCACGAAATTAATATTTTTACGTGTTTATATGTCAGCTAGGGATGTAATTTTAATATATCTATGTATCGATATATTTTGATAATATATTTGCAGACGATATTTTTCTTGGACGAGCGAAAATAGTACTATCGATGGTTTTGTGAAAATAAAATATTTGTATAAGAATATTTTCAAAATATTTTATTTTTAAGGGAGAATCTTTTTAGGGACTTTCGGCATGTTTTATTTTTTCCAGAAATTTCCATAGTAATCATAAATGTTGTCTTATTGAGCCTTCTCTACCGCCGAGCTGGTCTGCGACGGCACAACTTCAGCGGGTGGAGCAGGTGCCCCACTTTCGGCCGGCTGATCCTCCTTGACTGGAACTTCAGACGAAGTGTCAACGGGTAAAGCATCAGCCAGTGGATCATCATCGTCATCATCGATGCCGCCATTGGCTTTGTTGTAGACGGTGGGATAAAGCTGGAAGCAGTCGCGCATTTTGGTGAAGGCCTCAAAGCAATCTGATCCCTTGGGCTCCGCTTTGCTGTACTGGAAACAACTAAATGCCTCGCGAAAGTCAACGCCGCACGGTCCTGTGGCCATACCTCCCAAGCAGGGACAGCTCCAGTTAATGTTGCCGTCCTTTGTGATTACGCCCTCAGCCGGCTCTGGCGCCGGCAGCTCAATTGTGCTTGGAGTCGCATGGTCTTCCTTGGTCACGAAGATAACCTTGTCCTTGCCGAACTGTTTGCAAAATGAAAATGACATCTTAATGCCTCCCTGCTAATAATTTCACTAAAGTTTGACGACGTTTTCGTCGTTCTTGCTATCAAAGTCCAGCTGATTTTTTGATGCGTTTAGCACCTGAAAGTGACAAGGCACCTCCTGGTAGTGGCCTATTAAGGTAACAGCAATACGCGCGCGCTCAACGAATTCTTGAGGCACTCGCAAGATAAGTCGTCGTTCCGCTGCACTGAATTTCACAATATCCAACGATGTCTTGCCTCCGATTTCTCCAAATAAGCTTTCCAGGGAGTTGAGAATGCAGCCAATCAAGTAGCCAGGCGTCAATACAATAGACTCGGTGTCACGAAGTTTTCTGTAAATTCATTGCCACTTGCATTATTTACGAAAGATGCACGTGTTTCTACTTACAGCTTAACATCCAGGTATTGGGAATCTTTCATTCTTTGGTTGGCGCTGTGATGTTCCCGAACACGCTTGGGGGGGACTCCTTATTCATTAAAGTTCGGTTGAAAACTTGTTAAATGCCGGCGTATATTTTTTATGTAATTTTTTGCTTTTCACGTTGTGTCAAACAGCTGGATAGGAGCGATAGGTAGACAGCGATAGACGATAGCGAAGCCAGCGATAGATAGCAGCTAAAACGCGCAGAATTTAAAATCGGAAAACAATTTATTAATTTTACAATAATTCAAATCTAATTGTGAATGTTTAATGTAACCGATTTAACATGCCGAAACTGTGGAAACTATTCATTTTAATTGGAAGTGTCTGTCAGATCGTTGATCAGGAGCTGGAGTACAGGACGTCGGCTTACTTTCAACATCTCCGAGCTGCTTTTGCGGAAATATCCTTGTCGAAGTCTAGAGCTGTCTTAGAGGTGCCTATCACTTGAAAGTGGCAAGGTACTTCCTGGTAGTGGCCTATCAACGACAGTGCGGTTCGGGTCCGCTCAAAGAACTCTTCGGGAACACGGAAAACAATGCGCTGCTGCTTGTCACAAAATTTAACAATGTCCATGTTGGTCTTTCCTCCCAGATCGCCGAAGAAACTCTCTAGAGCGTTTAGAACACAGCTACGAAAGAAGATGGGTGTGAAAATAATAGCCTCGGGGTTGCGGAGCTTTCTAAAAACAAGAAAAATTATTATATTATAGACAAGGAGCTGACGTTTATTGTCCCACTCACAGTTTCACATCAAAATAATAATAGTCACTCATGATTCACGCGATATTGCTTGATCTCTGTGCCAGTCATCAATATTGTTTTCACATTTAATTTAATCTGTATCATATTTTTGAACGAAAAAGCTACGTATGGTACTTTTAAGTGTAATGATATCTAAACATCATGTTTCCTAGATGTTTTACTGTTAAACATCGAAAACAATTAATCGATGGTCTTCCACCTCTAGCACTCTGGACAGCCCGCGCTTCCCTTTGACGAAATTTTGACCCAGAAATTGAGAATTTAAAAAAAAGAGACTCGATATATAGTTGTCGACTTGTACATTGGGGCCAAAATGGATGCATTGACGAATTCGGTGGAGGAAGAGGAGAATGGCCCACTAAATGTCACGAAATTGATTGTAAGTTGCTGTCGATCGGAGATCTAGCTGCACCAAATCATAAGCTGTATTTATTTATTGACGAATCAACGATAGGGCGGCAGTATAACTGCCAAGGACATAAAGCTACTGCAGCAGGCAAGCCTTCACACGGTGGATGCTGTGGCCAACGCGACGCGCAAGCACCTACTGGCCATTCCCGGCCTCGGTGGGTCCAAGGTGGATCAAATCATTTCCGAAGCCTCAAAAATGGTGCCCCTTGGCTTTCTCAGTGCCCGTACCTTCCATCAGATGCGCGCAGATGTCGTTATGCTGACAACTGGCTCCAAGGAGTTGGACAAGCTGCTTGGCGGCGGCATCGAGACGGGTTCTATTACTGAGATCTTTGGCGAGTTCCGCTGTGGCAAGACTCAAATCTGCCACACCCTGGCAGTCACCTGCCAGCTGCCCATCAGCCAGAAGGGAGGCGAGGGCAAATGCCTGTACATAGACACAGAGAGCACCTTCCGCACGGAACGTCTCTCGGCCATTGCCCAAAGGTTCAAACTGAATGAATCCGAGGTTTTGGACAACGTTTCCTGTGCCCGGGCCTACAACAGCGATCAGCAAACCAAACTGTTACAAATGGCTGCGGGCATGCTGTTTGAAACCAGGTATGTACGCATCTAGAATCCATCTGGGATCGTGGCCAAAGAATCCTAATTTCTTATTGCTTCTAAACCTCCAGATATGCCGCTGTTATTGTCGATAGCGTCATGGCCCTCTACCGCTCGGACTACATAGGACGGGGCGAGCTGGCCGCCCGGCAGAACCACTTGGGATTGTGCATGCGGCAGCTTCAGCGCTTGGCAGACGAGTTCGGGGTGGCTGTGGTCATCACCAACCAGGTGACAGCCCAGCTGGACGGCGGTGGTGGCATGTTTGTTGCTGACGCCAAGAAGCCGGTGGGAGGGCATATTCTGGCGCATGCCTCCACCACTCGACTCTATCTGCGAAAGGGCAAGGGGGAGACGCGCATCTGCAAGATCTACGATTCCCCCTGTCTGCCCGAGTCGGAGGCGATGTTTGCGATTCTGCCAGACGGCATAGGCGATGCCAAGGAGGGGCACTGATTATTATACTATTAGCTTCTTAAGATCTACTATACTATGTACATGTGCTGCAAGCAGGTGGCCACTTTCAAGGAACGATTAATTGATTAATGAATTTAAATAAGGCATTTCTCAATTTATTTTAATTGCTTAATTATGAAATCAAAAATGAAATATTTTTTTTTATCAAAGATCACTTAATGGTTGCTTCACTGTACTGCGTATAGGTCGGAGTTACGCGGAAATTCCATGATTATTTTACGTGTAGGTAAAAACAGTCTTCGGTTAGAGGCAGCGTTTTCTGACCTGACCCACACGAGATAAAAGACAAGATGGAAAAGCAGCGGATGCCGACTACGCTGATTCTAGACGAAAGGCAGAAGAAAAGCGCTCGCAGCAGAAGCAGCAGCAGACTGTACGCATGCTAGGAAACACGTGTCGGGTCGCCTTCAATAACAGTAGATTGGTAGAGGTCTGGCCAGATAAACGAAAAAGATTGTTTATTCGAGTAATTTACGTATGTATCATCTATAGCTTTATTCTTGATCAAACATTTCTACACACATAGTAAATAAAATTTTACGGATCGAAAGATGTGAATGTTCATGGTTCACTCATCCATTTATCCAATAAATTGAAGATGATTTCACGTCGAGAGTCGTCGAAAATGAAGGCAAATAAGGAAGTTATTTCAAATAAGAGTCTACTTTTTGTAATCTGATCGATTACACAATAGAACTTTGCTTTGTGTTGTTTGTTGGGTTCATCGTGTTCTGGAGCTGGAGCTCAATTGTGCTGGATTTCAGCTTCAGCCGCTTAGGAGTAACTAAAAAAATTCATTATAGTCCAATACAGACACGCAAAATTCATTGTATTGCGGGTGCGAGTGTTTTACCTTATTATATCGTTGGATTATGGAGTAGTAACTGGCGCTAAAACATTATACTGTATTCTTTACTTTAATCTTTTTTAGCGGTAGCTGGGATATTGCCTTGCTTGGCCTCAACGAGACTGTTGTAGCCACGCTCGTTCATCGAGACGCGTAGGTTCTCATTCACGTTTTTTGTATAGCTCTTGTAGATTTTGACCTTCTCGCAGAACTCCATCCAAAAGTTGTCTTCCTCCGACGCCGAGTTGAAGAGGCTCTTGAACCCGTCGTATATGGTCGAGGACACCTTACGTATGATCTGGGCCTTCTCCTTGAACTCGACCTCGTCGGAGTAGTCCATCTTCCAGAGGTCCAGGTTGCCGACATATCTGCGCAAACGACGCATTATGTCCACGCACTCTGGATTGCGCAGCAGCATCAGCTTGGTCAACTCGACGTCCTTAAACTGGTCCAGTATCTCCAGACATTTGCCCACATTGGCTCGGCGCAGTCCCAGGCACTCGCGCAGTTGCTGGGAGAGCTGAATGAAGTCCCGCTCCATGAACAAAGCGTCCTCGTGCTCGATGATCTCCTCAATGAATCGCGCGGCCTCCTGCTTGGGTATCTCATTCCGAGTTGGCTCAATGATGATGCGCCCGGGCAGGCTGTCGGGATCGAGCTGCCCCGACTCCAGCTTCAGCTTCAGGTCGTAGGCCTCATTGCGTGACTTATCAATCCAGGACTGCTCCGCAGCGGCACTTTCGAATCTCTCCGGCTTGTTGTAGTTGATGTCGATGCCCAAGCACTTGGCTGTCGGCATATATACCATCAAAAGGTCATTCTCTTTATTCTGTGTGAAGGAAACCCAAATTAATTTTGCACGAGTATGACTTTTGCGTGAAACTTACGTTTGCTGGGCGCGAGCGCTTTTGAATGGGTGTCACGGCAGCGGTTGGCTTTGACTTCTTCACTGTTTTCTTGGCCAAGCTGGAGTTGGCTGCTGGTGGTGGTGTCGATGTCGCAGCTATGCCTTCCGGTGGGACGCGCCGCTTTTGCGGCGGTGGCCCGTCAGCCGAATCGGTGCCGGCCTCCTCAGAGTCTCCGTCCACATGTTTCGGAGCCCCCTTCGACTTACGTGAGCCAGCGGCTTTCTTTTGAGTGCTGCTGTTTCCGACGCTTGAAGCATCCGCAGCAGAAGTCTCGGCCGCTTCAGGAGTCGGAGTTGGAACTTCGATTGGTGTTGGGTTCTTCGACGGGATGGGTGTTTCGGTGGCCGAGGTCTGTTCGTCGGCACCGCCATCATCGGGGTTTGATAAATCGATCGGGGCCGAGTCCTCCCCCTTGAGTGCGCTTTCAATCTGGTCCATTGCCTCGCTGAACTTGGCTCGCTTCATATTCTTGTCGGTGGCGAATTTCTCCTTGTTCTCAACATATGGGAAGAGGTCCTCGATTTTTATATTGGCGGTCTCCCCCGTGCCGTAAAAGTAAACATTGTACTTTTTGTTGATATACTTTGTGATTTTTGCTGGCCATGCCGGATAGCCCTTAACCTTGGCAAACACCAAATCGTTAATGCTGAACGATTTTCCACTCTTTTCTTTACCCATTTTCGCCGAAATGTTAAGGAAAAACTTCTAGAAATTAGTTTGTAAGCTAAAAATTGGCGTCGTCTGTCACCGCGGATTTCTGTTAACCCTCTTAACTCCCCTCTTTTTAAACAGTTTAACGACTTGAGGTTAATGGCGGCAAATATAGCTGATTGTAAATTCTTCTTGTAGATCCATTCCACCTCTTCTCTGAAGTTCTCTGAAAAACCGCGATATCTTTCACCTGAACTTGGCTAAAATAATTCAATTTCTATTATTTTTGGTCGAATAATAAAATACTCCCTTGGCTGACAATGGGTTAATCGGACGGACTTATCGAATATATACCGTAAATATACTGACGAATTAAAGTTTTATTTTACAAATTCTTCGTTTTTGATATTCCGTGAAATATTACTAGCAATATAGAATATTTAGCCATGTCCCTATAACTTTATCCGATTAATGAATCAATTTTCTACTTAACTGGCTTATTTTAACCACTTGCTTTTATTGCATTTTGCGTAAAAAGAGGTTTTAGCGAAAATGGTCAAACAATTTAACGTAATAAAACGTAAGAGAAAAATCGTTCCTATTGATCAATTTTGATATTCCGTTGAATAATGCTAACTAATTAAAAACTTTAGCTTTGCCCATATCATTATAGGCCATTGATGAATACATTTTCTACAAGATCAACAACTTTTAAGTACTTGCATGTATTGTATTTTGCCTACAGCAAGGTTCAAACAAAAAAGGTCAGCAAAAACAGTGGCAACGTAAATGAGTATGAAATGTCACGTCAACCGGAGTTTGGTCATGGGTATACCATATTTGGTTAATATAATATGAAGAATCTGTTTTAAAACGTAAATTATAAAGAAATTATCTCAAATTGATATGTTTGAGACGTATTCATGCATTTGATTAGTTTCTTCTATACATATCCTGATCCCGATACCCTTGGTTTCTGTAAGAAGACCACAACCTTCAAAATATCGTTGAAATATGTAGCTTTAAAACAGAGGCTGACTAGTTTCTGCATTCATTGGAGCCTGAGATGACAAACTTTTTGGCAATTCTATAACATCCCTTTCTCCAGGGTATGCAAAATGTTGCTCAATCTGCGTCAACATTTTTTCGGCCAATATAGAACATTTAGCCATGCCCACATAATTTTATCCAATTAATGAACCTATTTTCTACTTGACTTGATTTAAATACTTGCCTTGTTTTCCTGCTCCGGAGACTGCTCTGATTGTTTTTGCCTCAATCTTATAGCCTAAGCTTTAGATATCGGAAATTTTATCCGCCAAAACGCTATAAGCCAGTGTGTGCATGTTATTAGTATGACCAAACTTGGTCGATTCTTGTTGACTATCGAATTTCAAATTAAGCTATCGTCGTTTATTCAAAAACATAAGTTTTCAAACTGTATTGTGAATAGAAATAACAGTGTTAAAATATTTGTCAAGGCAATTAGTTAATTTAACATGTGCTTGGCCTACCGGAATTCGATAAATCACCCATTTAATCGCTGGCATCGTTCCCACAGGTGAAAGGTTTGTTGGCAGGCGCCAATTTACCATTTCCACCCACACCCACAAACACATCACCTTTACGCACCTATGGACTGCTTTATTTAAAAAAAGCATTTGTTGTTGGCTGAGCTCAGTCGTGTCTGCGCTGCGAGAGAAACATCATCTAGCCAACATCAATAAGCCGAAACAATAATTTCCCGTCGGAATCTCTCAGAACTTCCATTTGTTTACTGAGTCACGAGAGGCCAGAGGCCGAACCAGAAAGAAGAGCACCAAATAGTTTTAACATTCGGCCTGGCCTGGAATCTGTGGAATTTGTTGATTGCGAAGCGTAAATTCGTTTATTAAGTGGCGTGAAATTTCGTTCGCAATATAAACATAAACATGCAGGAGCTAATAATTGCTCCACACGTTCCCGGCAACGGAGGAGGAATTAACAATGTACTTCAGAAGGTGGTCGTCGCATATGATAAAGAGAATATTGAGAGCGAAAATGGCAAAAAGTGAGTCATACATACCTATAGATATATATACATATGTGTATATTTTTTAAGCTTACATTTAACGGAAAACACAAGTCAAGGTCGCGCTTATGTCACGCAACCTATTTTTTGTTGCGACTCTGGGAGTGCACCACTTGCTGTGGCGCAAAACGTATCGTAACGGTATCGACACTGCTTGAAATTTGAATTACAAATCTAAAAGTTTTTTTCATTTTTGTCTGTAAAAGTAATGTTCTTTGGAGTGTTCTGCCAACTTATGTATGTGTGTATGCACCCACCGAATGGTGCACATGCATTTTTATAAACTTATTTCATTCTTTGAACTAAATTCCATACCCGAATGCCGATGTACCACATGTTGCACATTGCCTTTTCTTGCTACTATTCTCCTATTTATTCAACGAGGAAATCATCCATATATCGAATGAATTCTTCGAGAATGCAATGCAAACTTTATTTTGATTTTGCTTGAGTAGTATATACATATTTTTGGGGCCGCATTCTTGGCATTCTTCTCAATCAAAGCCCCTGACTCTGACAATTGAATTCAAGGACACCATAATTGCTTGAAATTAGTCATTTATCTTGGGGGAAGGTCTGTCTACAGGTCTACAGGTCTCGTCTCTGTCACAATGCTCATTATTTTTGGCAATCGAAATATCATGCAAAGCAAGAGTTTGGCCAAGAGGTAAAATATGATGAGTACCCATCCAGACTATAGCGAGGTCTATAGAGAAGGCCTAATACATTAACTTTAGGATAGCATATGTGATTAGCCTAGTTTTCCCTATCCCCATGAGATTAAGAATGCCAAGACCCAAGAGATCTGAAATTCCTTGACTCGATTGGAGCAGATACATAAATAATGGAAATGAAATCGCTGATGTGTTTTTGGATTTTTTATTTTTGCACAAAATCATTGGTCGGTGCGAAATATTTTAATTTCGCTTATTTTGAAATCAAAAAAACATTTTCGACGATGCCAGTGGTTTGCTCTAGTGAAAGTGACCGATGATTAATATTGGCCACTTGCCAGCGGAATTTGTGATTATTATTTAATGACGACGAGAAGTCGCCGTAAACATATAATAAAACGAAACAAAAATTCGCCACGCACCGTCGCACAGACCCTGGCCATACTCTTACAAGCAGCCACCAGCGTTTCAGACTCGATTCTGCGAGGAGAGAGGCTAGAGAGATGCCCAGAGATGGCCAACCCGTTGAAAGGGTATACATATTTTGGTGGGGTCTAAAAATAGGTGCAGTTTTTGATTTTACACATTTACATTCCTCAGTGGGCAGCCTTTTTGGAGGGCGATGACAGAAGCAGCAGCAGGAAGGAAGGTGGTGCCAAAGAGAATTGGGCACCTTTCCATTTGATCTCCGCTGACAGCCCAGGGGGAAGAGGAGAGGAGCTGATCTGATGGATAGTGCCATGGTATGGCTTTATTTCAATTATTGAGATGTAATTGCATTACTGACAAACGGGGAGGACAGTCCGAGAGACTCCCCTCCCTGGCCGAGCAGATGCGATGACTGATCTTTTTGTTTAGCCATTCGCCAAATATTTCGATTCTATTTTCATATGCACTCCAAGGAACTAATTATAAACAATTTTCGAGTTGTACGAGTGTATAGGTGGATACACAAATACCTATACGTGTGTTTAGCAAATGATTATTGTTTTGTAGAGCTAAAAAACGATGACGTACTGCGTAGGTGCTCTGCTCTGCTGTGCTGTGCTGGGATGGGATGGGCCGGGATGGGTTGGGATGGCATGGGGGATGTGTTGTTTAAGTTCCCATTCACAAAATTACGCAGGCTGGGATGCTTCAGGCTGAAAGCCTGCACGGCAATACGCAAATAGATATAGATAATACCTTCCATTTGTTTATGCGATGTTTGTATTTCGCGTAACACCAAATTGTTCGCTTCTCCTTTGTTCGAATGAGAAATGTTCTTTTGGTTTTTTTGTTGTTTTTATGAGGTTGTTTACCCACATTAATAATGGTTCTGTTTTGTTGTTTCATTTGCAGTTCACAGGCGGGGGCGGAGAACAGCACACCCTACCCAGGACTGTCGCGCCTAACCCCCTCCCTGATCCTGTGCGGGGCAGCGGCTGTGGTGCCCGCCTACATGGACAAGCTAGGAGTGAGTTGCGTCATCAATGTGGCCCCTGAGCTGCCGGACACTCCCCTATCCAGCGTGATGAATCCTCTGTACCTGCGCGTGAATGCTCAGGACCGTTCGGAGGTCGACCTGGCGAAGCATTTCGATGAGGTGGCCGACCTCATTGAGGAGGTGCGTCTGAATGGGGGCGTCTCTTTGATCCACTGCGTGGCGGGGGTCAGCCGCTCGGCCTCCCTCTGCCTGGCCTACCTGATGAAGCATGCGGGCATGAGCCTGCGGGAAGCCTACACGCACGTCCAGTCCATTCGTCCGCAGGTTCGGCCGAACTCGGGCTTCTTTCAGCAACTGCGTCGCTATGAGCAGCAGCTGCGGGGCAGCTGCTCCGTGGAGATGGTCTACTTTGCTTCTTTGGACAAGGAAATACCCGACATTCTGGAGCCCCAATACAGGGCAATGGAGGACTTCTACCAGAGATATCGCAGCTCGCTGAGGAAACGCTAGATCCCGGAGCTGCGTTGCGGGGGCCAAGAGACATTTCGTGATTTGTGATATGTGAGAATTATGGGTAGAAATTAGATGTAGGTGTAGCACTAGTTGCTCAAAGATGACATTGTAATGCTGAAATATATATATATATAGGCTAGTGCTTGATTTCGATAATTACAAATACACTTTTATTTAAGAACATTAAATTCACAGAGTAAATGTTTTTCGTAGTTTAGTAATTTCAATGAATCACAAACGTCACTAGCAAACACGATGCACAATGCATGTGCAACACAATTTAGTTATATATTCAACTGGATTCTGGTAGTATATACATACACTAGTATATACAATTTTTGTTTCCTAACTAAACTGTAATCTTGTAGTAGGGTTGGGTTAATTTAAATGCTGACAAAAGCCACACAGAACATTTTGGCTTATAGGATGTGTGTGTATGTACAATAATTACCTAAATCTCAGCCTCTCGGCATAGGCGACTTAAAAGAGACTTAACACGAAAGAAAATTTGCTAGCTAAAAGGCAGAATTAACAGAGTTTTGTGTGTGTGTACATTCAGCTTTGGAGTACATGCAACCAATACATAATGCAACCTCCTTTCGCCTCACCTCACTTACTTGAAGATATCGGAGATGTGTGCGGCATTTGTGGTATTTGCGGTTGCTCGTGCATCAGTTTTTTCAGGTTCTCGTAGGCCGTGTTCATGATGCCCCAACTGATGAAGGAACGTGCCGTGTTGAAGGCGCAGCCGCGGTAGAAATTCCCAATGCGGCTGTCGCGTTCGCGATAAATTCTTTTGCATGCATGCCAACTGCCCTCCGACCGATGGCCCATGTCACTTTGCAGCGATACTTTGATCACATTGAGGGGGTAGAATATTGTGCTGATGCTGGCACCGATGACGGCTCCTGCTATGAATTCCTGGGCAGTTCTGCTGGACACCGATTTCTAAATGGGCAAGAGTCAGTACTTCGTGCAATTAAAAAAAGGAAAGTACTTGCCCTTTTGGGTAACCGAGCGCTGGCCTCTTCTCTGAGCACAAAGAAGAATGCATTGGACAGTCCGTTGCGCCAAAATACTGGTTCTATACCCCTGTAGAGCTCCCTGTATCCATGATGGGCCACTACATATCTGCATAGGGATTCAAATATCGCGTTTCATTATTTGCTATATTGCTTCTATATTGCGAGTGCTGCGGATCTCACCTGAAAGCATTTGAGGTATTGGAGAAATGTTGATGGAATTTCGAGTCCGCCAGCAGCGTTTGCACGCGTTCAAAGGGCAGGAGAATGGATTCAGCACTACCCGCCACTACGCCGGCAATCACCTTGGCACCGTAGTCATTCAGGCGATAGTCTTCCACCAGATATCTCCTCGTGCCATCAAACACTCCAAACATTATGGACAACGAAATGGTTTTCTGTGCCAATGGAGGCAGCATTCCTCGGTACAGAAAGCTAAGCCCCTCATGCCGCAGCTGACCGAATGCAGATTTGATGGGCACGCCATGAAGCATTTGCCGAAAGATCATTTTGTAGATGGGATATGTGGCGGAAATGTTGACAAACGCTGCTCCGCATCCGCAGGCGAACTCCTCCCACTGGAAGGCGCCAAAGAAGCGCTCTGTGAAGATGCTCGCATGGCTAGATGATACACCCAGCTTTAGTGCTGTGGGTGGTGGTGCTCTTCTTGTTGTTGTTTTTGTTGCGTATGCATTCTGTGCCTCGGAGTCATCATCGTCTTTCATGTTGCTACTGTAGTGGCTGGTGCGATAATGTGTGCAATTGTCACCTCGCTACCATTGTTTACAGTGGTAACTCCGCACACCTAACACTCGGCGTGTGATTTGTTTGTTTTGATTTTTTACTAAATTATATAATAAAGAACCACGGTATTACAACTAGGAATGCAACGTGCTATCGAATTGTCTGTATATCGTTTGATAGTTTTAGAATCGATATATCGATACAAGATTAAATGTAATAAACTAGTTGTAGAGTGGTTTTAAGGGTTGTAAACAATATAATTGAAATTTTAATTGTAACATGGCATTTTAAAAGATGTACCTCTTACAAGAATTGGTAAAATTATTGTTTACCACTATCGATAGCCAGAAGACAACTCTGGTCGAGCTGTCAAAATGTAGTGCGGCCAACTTCACATCCCTTTTCTCTCTTTTTGACGTGCTCTTTACAATTAGCGGTTCGTTTTTGCTATTAAATCTGAATATTTCCTAAGCATCCGAGTAACATGTTGGCTCTTTCTAAGCTAAATAAATGCAGTAACAGTGAAGCAAGACACTGGCGCAGTAATTAAATCTATATTTCCATGGCATCCTCAAGAAAATGTCAACCAAACTTTGTTGACATTTTCTCACAGGAAGACACAATAAATAAAAATCGCGATATTCAATCAAGATACTGATGAGTGGTCTCAACTATCAAATTCCAGCTCCAAAATGACGATTCGCCCAGCGTACCGGCCCAAGATCATCAAGAAGCGCACCAAGCACTTCATCCGTCACCAGTCGGATCGTTATGCCAAGTTGTCGGTTAGTAAAATAAAATATAGTGTAGTGTAGTGAAAGACAAACCATAATCATGGTCTTTATGTTGTAGCACAAATGGCGCAAGCCTAAGGGTATTGACAACAGAGTGCGTCGTCGCTTCAAGGGCCAATACTTGATGCCCAACATCGGTTACGGCTCCAACAAGCGCACCCGTCATATGCTGCCCACTGGCTTCAAGAAATTCCTGGTGCACAATGTGCGAGAGCTGGAGGTCCTGCTTATGCAGAACCGCATCTACTGCGGTGAGATCGCTCACGCCGTCTCCTCAAAGAAGCGCAAGGAAATCGTCGAGCGCGCCAAGCAGCTGTCGATCCGTCTAACGAATCCCAACGGACGTCTGCGTTCTCAAGAGAACGAGTAACCTTAAGATTGAAATGCTCTTTGTCGAGTTATTGTAACGTGGTCGGAATACAAAATTTGAAACGTTAAAAGTGAAAATCAAAAGTTGTTATACCTTCAATATCAATATGTTCCACAGAATCTAGAAAATCGAATGTTATCTCTTCGAGATCATTGGTTTTTGATTTTAATAACATGAGTTTATTATGTTAAGTTGCACAAAAAAGGGAATATTACTAAAGTACAAGTCAAAGTCTATTTTAGAACGACGTCGTGATCAAATTGTAAGTGGTGCTCGAGCTCCTTTTTATTTTCAAAGCTGGCGTTGCAGATCAAACAAAATCTATTGTTCTCATCATTGTCTGACATGAGGACAGTTACGGCCTGTTCCGATTCGTCCACATCAACGTGAAGCTCCTCCACCACTTGTTGGTCGTCTGACGGAGCGTCCTCCCTGACCCCATAGACAACATCGCCTTCGTGGGTCTTCATGTGCATTTTGAGGGTGTAGCGTTCAGTGAACGATTTGGGACAAACGGAGCAGTAGTGACGGGGTCTGTTTTCCTTGTGTATAAGCGTGTGGTGGTTGAATGTCTTCCGCGATTTGAAGGACACATTGCAAATGCTGCAGATTATGGGATTTTCCTCGGCTTCGTGGCGGAGCCGATGGTTGTAGAGCAAGTTGTCCTGCGAGAAGCGCAGTCCGCACTTCTCACACTGATATTTTTTCTTGTCCCAGTGCATGCGCATGTGCCTCAGAGTGTTGACGGGCCTGGAGAAACTCTTTGGGCAATAGCGGCATTGCTTCTCGGTCTTTCCTTCATGCAAGTTCATGTGCAACTCGAGGTATTCCTCATCTCGGCGTATGACGCCGCATATGGGACAGATATGATTCTGCGTATTCGAGTGGTCTTCATTGATGTGCTTCTGCATTTGGTACCACGAATTGTAAAGTTTTCCACAGTGGCTGCACTCCTGCTTGATGCGTTTCTTGAGTGGCTTTTCATCTAGATCGGATTTGTCATGCATGCCCTCCGACTCCCCCGCATCTTCTTCGCAAAGAAATTCCTCCTCGTCCTCCTCCTCATGCTCGTACTCCTGCTTAATGTCTGCATCGGAATCGTCTTCTTCTTTGACTAGTTCCACAAACAATGCTTCGGCCTCAGCATCGACGTCGGCGTCGGCATCCTCCAGTGTTGTTTCTTCGACCACCAAATCCTCCGAAGTATCTGCACATTCAAACTCGGACTTCAATGCTGCCTTTAACTGGTTCGTAAGCCGCTTCTGTGTGGTCATTAAATTTACCATTATGGTATCGTATTCAGACAGCTCGGCGAAACAGCGGGGGCAAAGTTTTGAGTCTGCTTCTAATTTAATGCTTGTGTTTATGCAGTTCGCCAGATGCGTGAGCACCACGGAAATTGTTTTTTGGGACGACGGCACTTTCGCAAAAAGTTTCTTATAGCTGACCGTCGAAGACTGCTCTACGTCCACCGCGCCGCAAAAGAAGCACGTATCCATTTTTTGCCGTTTTAAGCAGATAACTGTCTCAGAACTTTCAATTGAGGTGAGAGAAATTGTGTATAATTCTATCGAACCAACGCCACGCACTAAAAACGCAACCGTGGAATGGCATTATGCCATTCACCCTCAAAAAAAAAAGACGCAGCGCAGAGTTGCCATTCAGCCTAAAGCAACTGTTATATTAGCAAATTCACTCAAAAAAGAAAATAAATAAAAATAATAGAACAAATAAATACAAATAATAGAATAAAAAAATAAAATTTAAATTATTTATTAGATTTAATTAAATAACTTTCTACACAAATTCTTAAGGTGACTAGCGCTGTAAACATAAGTGTAGGATAGAGCATGAAATAATTAAATGTTTTTTCAATATTTAAAATAAATATTAATTCATTATTATTATCAAATATTTTTGGGCATAATCTGAAGTTGGCCAAGTCTGAAGTTTTTTTTGGCGCAAGACTTCAGGAACGATTTTCCTATTTTGCCCTGGATCCCAAGCAGCCAGGTTTTTGGTCTGTCAGTATGTATGTATGTACATACATATATACATTTAGCACTCGTTCTAAGCCTCGTACTAGGCCTTTAATACGCCTAGCTTCTAGCGTCTAGGTTAATTAATTGAAATATTTACACCATACATAATTCGAGTTCAATTTATTCTGAGAATTTCCGTGAGCTCAAAACTTATAAGATCACCATCATTATTTATAGAATTCGCAATGCTACTCGTATAATTGTGTGGATCGGGAACAACGCTATCCTTACTTTGCTTCACAAATGAACGCTGTCTTTTAGATTTTGACTTGCAGCTTCGGAGCAGGGTTCGGGTCGCATTGGTGATCTGTCTCCTCGAACTTAAATTAAATACAGAATCGTGGACGTTCTTATCTATGACATCGCGCAGCTTTGCCAGAACAGAGTACAATATTTTCAAGCGTTTAACAATACGTTTGGGGTCTACTGGAGTGGCCAAGCTGACTGCAGCAAGGCACTCGCGCAATATCAATATCAGATCCTTGTGCACGCGCTTCCCATCGTCGCTGAGCGCAGAGTAGTTTACCGGCAGTCGAAAGTGCTCGGCCAAGACACTGCCCATTTGAACAATTAGCAGGTACTCGCTGGGAAGACTCTTCCCCGCTATGTGGATGTGAAGACTTTCCGCGAGCATGTCCAGGTAGTTGTTGACCAGGGAGCGACTGTCGATTATGTCGTGTATGAGATTGCGAAAGATCAGCATCTCGTCGTTGAAGTGGTGCTCCAGTATATCTGCATGGTGCAAGGCCGACGACTGCAACGCTGGAACAATGCATGCGTCCAGGGACTCCAGGGAGGCCAGGCAACTCCGCACAATGGTCTTGGTTTTGACGTCTTGCGAGAAGGCTATGGCCAGCACTCCTATCTGTTGAATGCGGTCCATGTTCGTGTCGAAATCTAAAACCAGTTTCTCAGTTAATCCAGATTCCAATTCCTGCTCCTGTAGGGCATGCCTCAGTCTATTGATGGGAGTGTTTTCTAGCTCGACAAGACTAGCAAAGATCGAATGCAACAGAGCCTCGTTCAGAAATGTCTCCAAACCATAGAGGGCACGCTCTAGGGACAGGGCTTCTAGCTTGCGATGCCCGGGGTTGAGCTCCGCGGAACCCTCGAGGAAGGTAGCGCATTCACTCAGCAACGTCTCGCACAGTTCTGACAGTGCCTTCTTATCGGCTTCCAAGGCAACGTTAGCAAATGCCAGGGCATGTCTGACAATATGATTGATTATGCTACCGAGCTGGCAGGCGTCATTAGTATCATTTTCTTCCTCGATGTACAGGAAATTGCTAGTAGTATTCCCGAGCCCTTCCATAAAGGCTTCCAGATGATCTAGTGCCAGGTCCATTAACTCAACAAATGTGTGATCCTCTAAGTTATCCGCAGCACCACTCTCCAGATGCAGATCTAACTGCGACAGGGAGACATAGATCCGACGCACACACCAGTCGATTCGGTCAAGGAAGTGCAGTCGCGTCATTGGCGTTGTCTCGTGTCCGAATTTGCTTTCGATGTTGATGGTCCTCTCCAGTTGAGTGATGCAAGTAACGACCTGTGTGAGGCACAGGAAGATCGTCTCTACTTCTATGTTGTTGCCGCCTTCGGGCGCCCCCCATCTGGGGGCTATTTCCGGCAAGTGTGCTTTGAGTTCACTTGCAAAGTCCAGAAATGTGGCACAGAACTCATTTAGCCAGGCAATATTTCCCACAGGGCAGGCGGGACCTTGTGCAATCAACTCGTTGCAAATACTCAATTGTCGCAGCAATGATTCCATCGTGTGATCGCGTAATGTGTGGACCGGGATAGATGATGCTCTTGACTAAGAACTGAAATGGGAAAGATTCGTTTTATATATGCATAAAACGTCAGGTAAATGCCAGATTATTTACCGAACCTTCCCAGGACTTAGAAGATCTAGGTAGCCATCGTGATCCAGAAACATCTGTCAATTTTATTGCACTCGGTCGACGTTCACGCAATCCAAGACAAGCCGTGGAAAATGATTGAAGATACATCATAAATCTGCTTTCGTACCTGCATCCTTTCTCTGAAAATGCAGGCTCAAGCCCGCAGCTTAGGTCGCTCTCTAGCATATTTTACTCCATTCAGTTTGAAGATCGGAGTTTATTGTCCCACCCAGAATATCCTCCCCCAGGTGCTTTCACTCTACTACTTCTGGTCTACCAGTTTTTCCCGTGTTCCTGATTCAAATACGAGTATATCCAAGAATTTTTCTCCGAAATGTTTGTATTAGGGTATACAAAAATATATACATGTCTGCAAACGCTGTTATATATCGGTCATGCTCGATGCTAGGGGTTCATATTCGTCCTTTGATTCATACTCTTATATATCAATTATATAGTTGTGTTTACTTTATGCTTTACACTACATTGTGTACAGTACACTACTTAAATAGCACTAGAGAACCATTCGCCCAGCACTAACAGTCGGCTAGCCGCGGCTTACACAAACTGCTTGTCTCTGGAGGCAGCTGGGAGAGAGACTGGCTGGCCGGCAAGGATGCGGATTATGGCGATTCCACTTTCAAATGGACACGCTTGTGCACCTTTAACGTGTACTTGTCCACAAATGACTTTTCGCAATCTGTGCATGGATAGCGCGGCCGATCGGTTTGGTGGGTGCGCAGGTGGTGCTTGTAGGTGCGCTTGGTCTTGAATTGCTGATGGCACACATCGCAAATGAGAGCGTTCTCCTCGGCGTCGTGCCGCATTAGATGGTTGTACATGAGCCACGAAAGGGAAAAACGTTCCCCACACTTCTCGCACTGATATTTTTTCTTGTCCCAATGAACCTCCATGTGGCGCAGAACGTTTCGCTTGTGGGAGAATTTTTTGGAGCAGTAGCGGCACTCCAGCTCGGTCTTGCCCTCGTGAAGGTTCATGTGCAAGTCGAGCACCTCGTCGTCTTTGACCTTCAGGCCACACACATTGCAGGTGGAGTATTCGTTTTTCTGGCAATTTTCGGTCTTAATGTGTCTCTCTAGGATTTCTTGGCTCGAAAAGAGATCGCCGCATATGTGGCATGGGGCATCCGTAGTGTCGAATATCTCTGACTCTGACGATTCCTCCATGCTCTCCTGCTCATTGTCGGTGAACAGGAATTCTTCCGGTTCTTCCTCGATCATTGACTCAAGGTCATCCTTAATGGATTCTTCGTTACCCTGTTGGGAGAATGATGTGTTCGGAGTTTCCTGTTTCGTTGGCGTGGAGGTGTTGTCTCTGTGGACGAATTTGAATGCTGGAACCTGCACTCTTGCTTTTGCGATCTCTTTCTTTACCAACGGCTTGAAGTCCGTCTTCTTTTTCCTGCATTCAAGCAAAGCATCCGCGATTTGGCGCTGCACCTGACTAAGATTCCTCACCAGCCGATCGTAATTGAACAGATACTCCAAACAGTCTCTGCACGCGACAGAGGCCGGCGTTAGGTCCAAGCGTTGATTGATAATTTTCTCAAAGTACTTTAGTATATCCTTAATGGGCTTAAATGTTCCTGGCACAATGCATCCTGCAAACAAATCGTACTCATTAGTCTTCCAAACATTTTCTTGCTAAACGTGTCTTGCCTTCGATAAGCTGGAATACTCCCACAGCCTTCATTTTGCCACAAACGAAGCAGTGCGGACGCGTTGAGCTCATCTCGCACAGTTTTCTATCTTACCGCCGGCTGAAAATCAGTTTAAAAAAATTAAATATTTTTTGTGTATATTTACTTATCTTAGGGATGTAAAATATATGATATATCAGGTATCAACTTTTTTTCAACCTATCGGTACTTTAGTGCGATAAACGTCTGTCCGATTACTTATCGAATACAATGCTGAAAGCAGCTGCTGCCGCACTGTATAGAAAAAATTATAATTTCCTGCAAGGACTGCGACTGCTACACAAAATGTCGGACCAAGATCTTGCTAAGATCCCTCTCGTGGACATTGACGAGGAGGGCATATTTAAATATATTTTGATAAGGGTCACCGGGAAGGAGACTGCAGACGGTACTGAGCCCAGCAAACTAGTTGTTCGAGGCTATGCAGACTGCGAATGGCATGGTAAGCTTTGTTTCTCATTTGTTTTATAGCTTATCTAATGTATAATTTGTACTTAGCTGATATATATGAACGCACACAGGGGACCATTAAAGGGACGGGCCTGGACACCGAATGCCTTGGCGGAGGACGCATCGAACATAACCCTGAAAAGAAGTACTTGAAAGTTTACGGACATTCCACGGTATATATCTGCTGTATATTTGCTTAATGAGGATATTTGTTGCTATTCTGTTTTGTTTTTGCAGGGTTATGGAAAAGCGGATCACGCGGAGTCGAAGCGAGTTCTACTAACCAAGTACAAGAACTACGAGATTGAAACTTCAGATGAAGGATATTAGGCTCGACTGTATGCAGTAAACATAATCTAAGGAGACGGGGCCCAGAACTTCATTGACTTGTAAACAAAACATGCAAAGCCAGTCGATCAGCAGTGTGCGAGCTGTTCACATACCCCCGACATATAAAATTTGGAATTCTCTCAAAATTGTAGCCTGTTTTTTTTCACAAGAATTAAAAATGAAAATACTAAATTACTTTTCTTCGATTGGACAATGTGCCAAGCCGATCCGTAAGCGTAGCCTCGAAGTGAAATCTTGAGGGTCTGGTCTGTAAATGTTTTTCTCAAATTCTAGTACGAACTTATACAAGTCCAGCCGCCGATCTACTAAAACTTCCAAGAGTTGACATCAAGGAGGGGAAACTTCGTTATTTATTGCTCTCAGTTTACATTCATGGTGAAACGAAGCATGCCAGGACTGTTGTCCGTGGATGGAACACCGATAGTCACGGTAAGACTGGTCTTACCTCAATCAGATTGCAGATTTCAGAATGATTTGGTCTTGTCTTAGATGATATTTACTACAAGAATGTAAGAGCCATGGAGAAATTGGGACTGTGTACCAAGTGTCTTGGTGGTGGGAAGATGGACAATGATGAAAGTGCTAGGAAAATTAAAATCCACGGAAGCTGTAAGGTATGTGCTATATAGTAAATGTTGACGTGTATTGAATATGAGTTCACGTTCGTGTTTACCAATAGACCTTTGGAGCTGCTAACCACCACAAAACAAAGGAAATACTACTCTCATCGTCCAAATACAAGAATTTCAATATCACCGTGAAGAAATAAAAATGATATTTTTGAAGCTTGGTTCGTGCAAAATAAAAACATTGGCACAGTATATTTATATTTGATATAATTTAATTTTAAACAGTTCAGTTGAACCGAATATTTCAATATTATTGCTCTTACCGCTTACACACTACAGATGTTGCAGATTAAACTAAAATCCCAAGCCTCGGATGTAGGCTTTAATAATAAAGGCGTTTCAAAATAAAGGTATTTGCCCGCCCAAAATGTTCCGCTTATCGCACAAAAGTACCGATAATAATTCTTGTGCATCCAAAAGTCGCGTGTATATCTGATCTAACAACGTGAAAAAATAGCAAAATATTGTCTGGCTACTGAGAAAAATAGTTCCGATCCACGATCCATCCATATATTAATATTAATATTATCATCTAATAGGAAACATTTTAGTTTACCTCTATTGATCAGACACTTTTCACCTTCTTCGATATGCACCTTTTATATCGATAGCGTGCACTAATATATTTGTTGTTTATGACCGATATCGGACTCACCTTGTTGTGCTAATACACCGAGTAAATTGTAAATATTCTCAGGAACAATTTGGTCAAAAATGAATTGTTGCATTTGCCAGTTTTCTGTGCGTGTTTCAAAAAATATACATACTGAAACAGTAGGACGCCCGCCAGTTCTTCTCAGTGAACTGGTTCTACAGTGCACAAAGGGCACAAATTACGAGCTAAGCGAAGAGGCGTCGACGATATGCAAAAAATGCTGTGAGAAGTTGAAACGGTACCACAAGTCAATACAAATCGCCAGGAAACTGCGTCAAGAGATCTTGGAGCTGATAAACAGTCCCTTTACCACAAAGAACCTGAGAAGGGTGCCATCGTGTGACATCCAAGTGGAGCGCATCGACAAATTCGATGCCCATATAGAAGTGAGCGAAGCTGAGGAAGAGGAATACTTGGACAATGAAACAGAGACAGTCGAGGATACCTCAATCACAGCGGAGGATGAGGGTGAAGAGCATTCATTCATTTTGAAGGATGCGACTGTCATAGAGGAGGACGAGCTTCAGTCGGTCGACCTAGAGCTAGATATTGATAACGAGATCATTATAAATGATGAGGAGGCCTTGGAAGAAGGGGAAGTGCACCTCAAGGATGAAGCTGAAGCAGAAGCAGGCGAAGCCGAACTATTCAAGGAGGAGACCATGAGTGAATTTGACGACCACTTGGAGAACACAATCGAGTTTTTAGACTCGGATGTCGAAGATGACCAAGACCAAGACAGCTCGGGCGACTACACCGTAAATATTCAGTGTCCGAGTTGTCCCGAGAAGTTTGGCAGCCGGCGCGGCTACAATGCCCACACAAAGCGCGAGCACTTCCCGGGGTACGTCTGTGATCAGTGCGGGAAGACCTTGCAATCGTATTCCGGCTTCATTGGGCACCTGCAGAACCACGAACCTGTCAAACAGTTTGCCTGCCCCGAGTGCCCCGAACGCTTCAGTCGAAAATTCCGGCTGAAACATCACATGGCCTGGCACACCGGAGAGACGCCCTACCAGTGCGAGGTGTGCTCCAAGCGCTTTGTCCATAAAGTGGCCCTCTACAAGCACAAAATGATTCACGACAACGAGACGAAGCGGCTCGAGTGCCAGGTGTGCGGATTCAAGACCCGAACGAAAGCCCACTTAGAGCGGCATATGCGGTCTCACACCGGCGACAAGCCTTTCGCTTGCCCATTGTGCAACAAGCGTTTCTCCCAAATGTACAACATGAAGGCCCATCTGCGGGAGCACGAGAGTCCTGGCACCAACAGACATCGGCGTTTCCACTGCCCCAAATGCACCCACACCTTCATCAACGAACAGAACTACGTGACCCACGTAGAGCGCAATGACTGCACCGCCGTTTAGGGATCAGATCGATTTCAGCTTCACATATTGGTTCTTTACTTCGAGTTTCATTTGGATTTGGATGTGAGAGGCTAACATCAGCGTCAGGATGGGACATGACATCCTGACATGCTGATACGCTGACATGGGACATGCTCATCTCCCCATGCGCATCTTATGTCCAGTTCGAATGAAATCGTTTCGATTATGTTCTATCCATGTAATTTTTTTATTAAATCTATATGCATTTCACAAATAAAATATGTTTGATATAATAAATTTATCCGTTATTTGCATTTGCATTTGCATATTTCTGCGGTTATTTCAGTTTTCTTAAAAAAATATGTATAGTATGTGTGGTGTATGCATAAACTTATTTCAATAAATCATCCGATCCTGTATCCTGTATCCTGTTTGTGTCTCCTGTTCAGCCTCAGCCTTCGCTTCGCTTCGTTTCATTTCGTTTCGGTTCACTGCTGGAGGATCTGCTGGGCTCTGGTTTCTGGTATCTGGTATCTGGGATCTCTTCTCTTGTAAATAAAGGAAATGTGGCCCTATCCTATGGTTGTTTTGATGGACAATATTGGTGGAGAGATTGACAATCAATTCAATTACAAATACATTTTATAAATACATAAATTGTAAGTTCGCGTATCGTATGCTGTGTTATAGATTATACAAAAATAAAACAGATTATCTTTTGATTTTTCGTCGAGTTGAATAGAACCTTGTTAATATCATCATATCATAAAATGCACATTACAAAAATATTAACAAAATTTATTGCAGGCAGTCCGTAGTTAGTATAAAGGTAACAAACAAATCCGAATTCAGGACAAACACATAAAACTCCTTCTTCCTACATATGTATGTATATAAATTTTGCTTCTCTCTTTCTGGTCCCCTCCTTCGTCCCAATAATATCCTACTGCCCCGTTTCAGAGTCCACTCAAGCACTGCTGCTGCTACTGGCGTACTGGCTACTCGATACTGGCCGGGATGTCTAGGACTGCTGGGGGGTAGAAGAGTAAACTTTATGCTCTAATTGTGGGTGTGGATGATGCGTTTGTTGGTTGATTCAAAAATTGGGGAAATAGAGATACAGAAAAATACATTACTCCGCCATAGAAGAGTACTCGTAGTTTGTGATGCTTGCAAAAGCCCATTGAATGTATATAGCTTTTGATTGCTCAAATTCCTAGCTCCTAGCTACTAGCTCTAAGATGCGTAAGTATACTTCAAAGCACCCACTCTCCTCGCTTCTCCTCTTCCCTCCCGCACGATGTTTGCCTTAATACAAAATCTACGCTAAATGCTTAAACACTAATCGGATGGCTTGACAAGACCCATCGCTTTGTCTCCGAATAGGGGCAGTATGTCGGAGTCGTTAACAATCTCTTCCTGAATCACTGGACTGTCCGGGTCCTCGCAGTGCGTCTTAAAAAAGAATCTGCAAAGGGTAGGGTAGGGTAAAACCATTGGCAAACATCGAAACGAATCGATTTCAAGGCAGTATGAATACCATACCTAAAGTGACCTCTTCTGGGCAGATAGTCCTTAAATTGACGCAGGGTTGGCTGAGTTCCGGGTATTTTTATTCTGTACGGAACGGGCTCCTCGCAGAACATAAACACGACGATCGTCTCTGGCGGCTTGGCCGGCAGAGGCGGGGGCGCCGACGTTGGCTGATGGGGCAGGGTGCTGTTGCTGCCGCCGCTGCTGCTACTGCTGAAGGAAGCTAGGGGCTGCTGTTGCATCATGTGGCTTTGTTGTAGCTGTAGCTGTAGCTGCGGTTGGGCATATCGACGAGAACGCCGCGGCTCGTCTTCCAGTCTTCGTTTCGCTTCCTCCAGTTTTGAGGCCGTGCTTGAACCAGAGCGGGAGCTGAAATGAATTGCCCATTTTATAGAGAGACCGAGAGAGAGGAAGATCAGAGGCCAGCCTACCTTGGATCTTTGTACTTCATAACAGTATCGGCTGAGAACATGCTGATACCACTGTCTGTGTTCATGGAAGGCCATTTGTTTGTCAACTTCCTCGAGCAGGAACTGTGATCCGGCATGGATTTCGAGTGCTTCATGGAGTGTCCACCTATTGATTGTTTTTGGGGGGTGGCGGTTATAAAGATTGACTCTCTCTGTGGGATCTGATGGATCGTACTTAAGCTCATCGCCCCATCGCTGACCATGCCCGAGTCGTGGGTGGCTGTGCGTCTTCTCGACGGTATTGGCGGGCAAGGGGACATCGTACCAGGTGAGCGATGCGGCGTTTGGTCCTTCCACACACGCGACACATGCTGGTCCAGAATATCTTGGTCGTTGTCTTCATCCAGTGCGAACTTTTCCCGTATCGCCTCGGCAAAGGCCCGGTCACTGGCGCTAGATCTTTCGTTGCTCAACAAAGCAGCCCCAGGATTTCTCTGTGAAATAAGGAACACATCAATAGATCAGTAGATGCTCTGAGGAGGTTTTCTTTTGCCTACCTCAAGGCGGGCCCGTTCCTCCAAGTCCCGCTTCCGCTTCACTTCCTCCAGTTTGGGTATCAGCAAGGCGACCAGCTCGTCCTCCTTCAACGGTCTGTGCTCGTTTGAATGTAATCGTTGTGTGCGAGGTATCACCTGGAAAAGTATGTATGGAAGGAGGGTTGGGTTACTTCCCTTCAAACGCAAATGCCAAAGCATGGGCCAAGCAATCATCAGCTACCTGAAAGGTGTTTGTTTCCTTATTCGCCATGGCACTCTGGCGAATCGCTTTGCTCTCCGTCGAACTGTGTCTGCGTTGTATGTATGGCCGACCATCCCTAAAAAGGAGAGAGGAGAGACGAGAGGATCAGTATTTAACAGAGCTGTCATGTCAGAGCTGGGGCTCCAGCATCCATGGCAGTGGTAGTGGTTTCGGTTTCGGTTTTGGTTCCGGTTCCTCTCTCATCTCTCGCTCAGCCAGACAGACTATAGCTCTGCTACTCACATGGAACAGCTGGACAGCGACATGGTGTCGGAGTCGGTGCGGCCGCCGGAGCTAACGCTCGCCCTCTCCGAATCAACCCGCGAGTTCGGGACGTACGAGGTATTGGTGCTCGCAGTGTACACATAACCATGGGCTCTACTCGCATTCACATTCGCATGCAGATCGGGACAGTATATTCATGCCGTATAATGTGATCGATCGTGTTCAATGTTCGTGTAGGTTCGTGTGTGTTCGGGGTGGGGGGGAGAGGAAGGAGTACCGTCGTCGGAATCCACACAAACAATAATGATACGAAAAACCGAAAAGCACAATGTAAATCATCAAGTCAACGTATCGGACGAGAATGCGGGTGGATCGTGTGGTCGCAGTCGCAGTCGCAGTCGTATGGATATGCGTGTGGCAGGGATCGGTTCGGATCGAGTGGGCGTGCGTGTGTGTTTTGTGAGCGTTCATGTACAACATATCATATGTAAAAGGAAAAGTAAAAGAAACAAAAATAAACAAATGATGAGAGTTAATCACAAGAAATCATTAAAAGTAATCAAAAACTAAAGGCAAACACAAGTTTGGGTGTCCTCTGGGCAGATCCTCTCTGATGTTTTCTCCACTTAAAATATCCAGCATCTGTATGAATAGTGGATCCCCCAAAGAGATCGCTTTGCAAACATACCCAGGAGGTCGGATTTCCAGTCTTCTTTTCTGTGTTGCTATTAGTAGGTCCCGCGTCAGTCGCATCGGGTAGTCGACGGGCACCCGACTGGCCCCCTCCTGCATCTGCACCTTTTCGAAGTCGTCGCACAGGGACAGCACCGAGTCCTCGTGCAGCGTGGGCAGCGTGGAGCTGCGGGGCAGTGTGTCGGTGGCGCTGATGGACCCGCTCGAGCTGGCCGAGGTCGAGGGACCGTACACACTGCCGCTGGCACTGCACGTGCCAGCTGGCGGCCCGCTCACGCTACTCACTGGCAGGTTGATGAAGGCACCAGCAGGCGAGACCCCGGCCCCCGTCGCCGCCGCCGCAGCAGCGGCTGCTCCGGCTGCCGTGACATGCTGCTTGGCAGCAACCGACGGGAAGGCACTGGCGCCAGTGGAGCTGCTGCCGCAACTGCCGCTGCCACTGCTGCCGGCGCTGCCTGATCCTCCCGTCGCCCCGCTGCTGCTGAAGCGTTCCTGAAGGGCGGACATCTGCTGGATGTACAGGATGTACATTTCCGAGCAGAGGAAAGTGGGGTAGATGTTGTCCCGGATGGTCGTCTCCACATGATGCTGCATGGGGTCGAAGATGTGCGGGCTGAGCGGGAGCTCTGGGTTCGACTTGATCGCCTTGATCTGGGTGCGCAGGTCATCAGAAATGGACAGCTGACTCTTGCGCAGGAACCTGGGAGCAGAAAACAGAGAGCAGAGCGTACAGTAGGGGGAAACGATCTATGTGGTCGGTCCGGTGCTTCTCTCACCTGTAAATGGCTCCGATTATCTGCTTGACCTTCTCCGGATCGGTCTGCTGCTTGAGACCCTCGCAGGCAAAGTAGAAGTTGAGGTGATCGTTGTAGGCCGGCGCCTCCTCCTCGACGTACTTCTTGAAGAGCTCGACCCCATCGCGGTCCTCGAGCAGATGGTTGAGCGTGCGGGCCCAGTTCAGGTAGGATGGCGGTGAATTCTTCAGTGTATCCAATGCTACCCCTTCGGTCATCTGTGGAAAATTGTTGAAAGGTGAAGGGAATCGGTCCATGAGTGGGGCTCCCCGATGCTTACCTTTTTAACACGGCTCTCTTCTCCGGGTACAGGTGGTCGTGGTCCACTACACTCATTATCATCATGTTTCCGGTGGATGCCCGACAAATGATGGCCACTCATGCCACACTCTGAATTGGCGTCGATTGTCGTGCCAAGCGCCAGCCAAAAGAACAACAAAAGAACGCGGAGCGCAGAGCGATGATGTGTGTAGGTCCTGTCCTCTCTGGTCCGTTCCTTTCCTTTCCTTTCCGTTTGGTGCCTCAACGCTCGCTAAATATTTACCTATTCTTACGCCTAAGCTACGATTAACGAACGTTTTCTGTATGAAAATCACAAACGCCCGTATTTTACAAATATCTGGGCCATGGAAGATGCGCTCGTTTGCGAATTTGGAAGGCAATCAGACAAGGCCTGCACAGAAAGAGGGAGAGTGGGAGAAATGAGCATTAGATAAATGTATCTGTCGGATTCTTAGTGTGTGATATTCTGCAGTGGATGCAGTGGCCCCGCCACTAGGAAGTGGCACCGAGCAGGAGCAAAATAATTGCGAATGAGAATTGAAGTGGAAGCCTGCAAAATATTAACCCAAACCCGACCTTTCCACAAGTTACGCGTGAGAGCCCAATTTCCAAGCACAAATTGGAGTTCCACTACCCACCCCCCCCACTCGTTCATCATTATAATCCCGTTATAATCGGTTATAAGAACCATCTCAAGGATGCGGAAGCTGAATGACCGGCACTTATTGCTGGCTCAGTTCTTATCAAAGGATATGCGAAAGGAATTGAACGGCGGCCATTTTGAGGGCGCTTTTGATTGGTTGACGATATCGACCAATACAGCAGAGCAGTCACAGGGGCAGGGGCACAGGAAGAGGCAGGGGCAGGGGAAGGGGCAGGCACATGGCAGAGGACGCAAAGGGAAGGACAATAATCCATTATGTACAAAATTTGAACAAGAAATACGCACACACACTGTCTCACAGGGGATGTAGATGTGGATGTGGATGTGGATGTGGGGATGGTCCAGAGGACACACGAGGACGACGAGGGCGAGGACGCGGCGGCTTCTGTCTGACGCGCACGAGAGCAGGCAAAAACTAGAAAGTAAGCATCGCATCGCATCGCGCTTTTGGTAAATCAAAAATATTCTCTTTTCTTCTTATTTTCCTCCCCCTTTTTTGCGGCAGCAGCAGCAGTGAAAGGGCGGGGGAGGACTGGGGGGCCTCCAACTACCGAGGGAGTCCTTGTCGACGCCAGCGAACGGCAGCGACAGCAACAGCGACTGCGACAACGACAACAACAAGGCACAAAGGACGAGGACGACAAACAAAACAGAGCAAAAGCAAAACTACAGAAAGCACGGGGACGGGGGATGGGGCAGCAGCATTTCCCTGCCAGCCCAGGATTCACTAATACAAGCACAGAGAGAGCACACCAAGACACACACACGCAAAGTGATAAAAGGGGATGAACAGGGGATGTTGTTCAAAGCAGTGGCGCCCCCCCCCTGTAGCAGCAGGGGAAAGAGCCAAGGAAATTCATCAAAACGCCATTTGCATAGCACTCCATTACAGCGAAAAGAACAAAGAGAGGCACAATTAAAAACGCTCGACACAGCCGAGGGCGGAGCAGGGGGGGAGCAGGGGAGAACAGAAGAGCAGGCAGTAGGCGCCGCTAGGAGAAGGACACGCTTCGGCCACTTGAGGTCCAAGAGTCGCTCCTCCAAAGGCGGGCTTTGGTGGCGTGGCCAAAGGAATCGGCGCGGTGCCTCTTCAGGCGCATCTTTGTGCATCGCGTCTCCCTGGTCGCATAGGTAAAAGCCTCCCGTCCGCCCGTGTGGGCCCTAAACATCAAAGAAGATCCACGGCTCGACCTCAATGGCTTAATTGCTACTGGAAGAATGTTCGGAAGGCCTTCGGAAGCCGCGCAAAGGAGGCTGCTCCTCCGCATCGCATCGCCTATCATCAAATATTTGTGCAAGCTTTTATAAGAGTGGCTCTGCTGAAGGACTTGAAGGTATTACAAGCAATTATTAACAAACAACTATGTACACCAGGTACTCTCTGGGAAGGCAAATCAAGGAATTCAACTGCATCGAAGATATGGCGACAGTCCGAGTATGGCAATCAGTAGAAATGCTTAAAGATACAGGATGTATCCAACGACAGAGCAAGGGGTAGGCCAACCTCCTGTGCGCTGCTCAACTTTTACGGAAGATCAGGGAGGGCTCTATTCATAGCTGGGAATCGTTGGAAAGACTAAGCCCCACTCGCAACCTATTCAATTAATCAAGAACTCAATCCTTTTGTAGGTCGAACTATATCTTGTTCTGGGGTCTAGTTCTATGTAGACTGGGTGTTGTTAGGTTGAGGCGTTTGCTGAAGAGAGAAGAAGACAAAGGCCGTTCGCTTACCGCCTGAACCGTAGGTGAGAGACCGGAATCTACGGTATCCAAGGGACTGTGCGATCTGTGGATGGGATTGCCATTCTGGCGAATCTATCCTTAGCAGAACTGATTCTAATATTTGATCTCCTCAAGATGAAGATTGGTTTTCTTTCGCACAATATTGCTTTTCGCTATACTCCTGCGACGGTACTTTCCCTTTGGCAGACTTTTGAGTATGTTTTAAATTAGGTTCTGATTAAAGTATTGTTTCGTTAGAATGCGTTTCAGCTTACACATACGTTCCGTCCCGCCGGCACACTTCAGAAAGATTGTGTCGATTCCGTAAAGAAAATGGTAAATGTTCAAGATACGGGCCTATGACTCTCGAAGGACCGCGATTTATTAAGAATTTACGAGCAGCAACTATTTAGCGGTTGGACATGGTTTTTTTTTAATGGATTTTCAAAGTCTAAACATCTTATCTTGCGCTTACTTCTAGGACTTCTTTCGGATGGCAAAATATATGGAAAACTATAAGACAATTCCATCCTCACACAGTGATCCCGAATCCCCAATTTCCGGTCCGTGGACCTCTCCTTTCATCAAAAGGTATCGGGCCTAGCAAACGACTCTCAAATGGTGACCAGCTCTCAGTGACCAGTCCGCGGGAATAAAAACTGGGGAGCACTGCCCCAGCAAATGCTTCAATAATTCGCAGCCGATTCATGTATCGTACGTGCCGACTGTTCTTATATCCAAGTATTTGATATAGTCTATGACTTTTCCTCTTTTCGGCTCATTAAATCATGTATCTCACAATGAATTAGGCGATTTCCAGCTTTACCTTCAACTATTTTCAGAAACAGAACTGGTTTTCCCCACAAAGAATTGTTTTTCATGGCCGTCGTTTCATTATATTTAGAGTTTCAGGCGGATAGATTTCAAACTGATGGATAATTTTACTTAGAAACGGACAGACTAAAGGACACAACTCTTAATCCTTTTATGTTAGGAAATGATTCTGCTGGCTCTGCTACCAACCGACACCAGGGCCAAGCGTGCTACGCGCGGATCCCTAGTAGAAACGCAGAAAATAGACCGAGGTGCGGTGCCGCATCACGCGCAGCACATTTAATCCAGAAATATAGAATGTCTATTACACTCGAGAGACTTTGCGACTGGATCTTCTTCCATGCAAACCACAAAGGGTATAACTTTTGTATAAATTCTGTATAACTCAAGGATTTGCCCAGATTTTCAGTTAAAACACTCAGAAGGCAGGAGGCAGGGGGCGGAGGCTGGCTTCTTCATAAGTGGGTTCTGATATGATTTCTTGTAAACATAATTAAATGAAATATAAAAATGTTTCAGCAAGGAGTTCCTTCCCCTGCACTTCGCTTCGTTTCGGTGCGCATCAGTTCTTTTCTTTGCTCTCTAATGTCGGACGAATCGTTTGGAATCGTGCAGTTGAATGGAAATTATGAAATAATTGCAGAGCCTCTAATCAATTTTCGGGCTGTGCTCGAGGGGAAGGGCACAACAAAGGAAGGGCCTCTGGCTCTGGCCCTGCCTGTGCCTCTGGGGATCAAGGCAGATGAATCTTTTCGCTATCCCTATTAGATTGCGTTCGTTTCGCAGGATTATTGTTCGCTCTATTCTTTGCAAGTTATGAGCTCCGCTCCGAGCTCGGATGATTGACAGGTAAGTGTAGCGTAAGATGAGGGCTTCTGTGCGCCGTCGCTGGGACGAATGCCGGAGGCTACTCTTTCTTTGTGGAGTGTTCCCTGCCAAGCGGTTGCCCAGGTGACTTGACGTCCTGGCTGAGCCTAAGCTCAGATCAGAGCCTGCGGTAGGGCTCTGTGACACACTCACTTGCAGATGAAGATACGGATACACAGTGTCCTCCGTCCGCCACGGGTTTGCCACTTCAGGAGAGGAGACGACTGCACCTTGGGAGCTGCACCGCTTGTTATCCGCACTAATTGTTGACAAATCTCAGGCACGGCACGGGCCAAAAGGAAACAAAGCACGAATACGAGCAGTCTGCGACGTGTGACAATGCGTTGAGCGGAAGGCGACAGCTACAGCGACAGCGCTAAGCTGGAAAGTCAAACTGAATGAATGAATGAATGAATCCTCCTCAATTCCGAGTCCCTGAGTTGACAGCAGCATCAGCAGCAGCAGCAGCACCCCTCCTCCTGGCAGCCATGGCCGCGCTAAGGCGGCAGTACATAAACGCTGGCTCTTTGGGGGTAGCCCGCACCCATAGCCCACAGTCCACAGCCCACACACAATTGTTGCATGCGGACATCCCGAACGGCGCTTACGTCATTTATGTACGGATATTGAGAACCTAATTGATGAGCAGACGAGGAGAGCCGAGGAGAGGAGACGACCCCACCATCTGTTGGTGCAGCAGAGTCCTGCGGAGTGGAGTGCCGAGTGCCGAGTGCGACCTCCAACATAATGATGCTTCATGTACAACAAACACACAAAGGATGTTCTTTTCAAAGTGTCCGTGGTTGCGGCAGACGAAGCGAGACGGCACTAGGCGAATAGGAGTCATTGTGTGTGCAACCAATATGCGCAGGTCCACACCCACACCCTCTCATCCCCATCCCCATCCACAGGCCACAGTCGACTTGTCCGCATTGTACATTGTACATAAACAGAGCCAAAGGAGAGCTGGTTTTGGCGCTGAGGTTCGAACCACAGTCCGTGGGCAGTCCATGTAGTACAGGCCCCGCTGGGGTGTGAGGCAAGGGTTGTAGCTGTATTCAGCAGCCCACTCCACCCCGATCCACTCCAGCGGCAGATTGGAAGCCCTACCCTCCCGTCAGTGAACTTCCTACCACCGCACAGAGAGCGCAGAACTGAACAGCAAATGTGGAATGGAAATTATTTTCAAATAAGTTTGAAAACAATACTCCAGGCTGTATGGCTGTATGGCTGCATAGCTGACTGGCTGACTGGCAGGGGAGGCAGCCGCCTCGTTTGTTTCTAATGAGGTTAAGGCGGCGCACGACGACCGCCATTGCGCTCAACGATGGCGTCTGATGGCAGTCTAGACCAGTCGGCACCCAGAACACGGAAACACGGGAACACGGCAACACGGCAACTGGGGGAACTATTAACGAAGGTCAATAGTGCCTCTGCCTTGCCCCTGCCTTGTTGATGGCCAAGTTAATCTTGTTGCCAGTTGCCAGTTCAGAAGGGAAACCCACACCTTCTCAGGTGAGATACGCATCGCTAGGGGACTAGTGGAAGTCCGCACTCTTGCATTTCTAGCATAAGCTCTTGCTGAACGGATTGCTTGATTAATTTTGGGTACTCACATATATTAAATTTCAACATATGATGAGCAAAGGAATATTCCGATATTCTAATCGAAACAAACGAAGAAAAGAACAAGGTTACATTGTGGATCACCATAAAACTGTCCAGAGCAACGGATCAGTTCTTGTCCGCTCTTTACTCTCCTTTAGGCTGAAACACAAATTACAATCTACCATTTAAGCTGAAAGCCGCGTATTTAAGGCATGAACAAAGTTCAATTTTCGTTGGGTGATTTTCCAAAGCCGATCATGTTTTCCCACAAAGACTTGCCTTTCGACCGATCATTCAAATGGCGGATTGGTTTAATGTCTTGATTTTGATAGGAGTTGTGTAGTATAAATTGCACTGCTCCTGTGAAAGGGAAACCCTGCCTCACTAGGAAGAAACTTCCTGAGCTTCCCGTCCAACAGCCCAAAACAATCCCAACAACATTCTATGTTATTTGTTGTTATGTTATTGCTATTCCGTTTTTCTTCTCCTTCTCCTCTTGCAGTTACCCCCAGCCCACATATCGCTGAAGTCAGTTCCAGTCAGTCTTTCGGTTCCACGAGAAGCCGCGGCGCGAGACTGCGGGCAGCTATCAGACCAGTGCGATTGCCCAGAACGATGCCGCACGGATACATATCCAGAAAGGAGAGCTACGTTATAGTTAAGACTGTGTGGGGCATAAGGATCACTATATCAGATAGCAACACGCACTCTCTGACGGACCATAGAGACGTACAGACCGACGGAAGCCGTTTGTGCGTGAATGGTGATTGCTCTACAGTTGAAAAAAAGAGGAAAAACAAAGCCTTTGCCTAGTCCTAATCCTAGTCCTAGTCCTGAGTATGAGTAAAAATTAATAAATAGAAAACGCAGTCGGTACGTTGGAATCAACGCCCACGTGCCTCGACACTAAGATACCCGGTACTCGGATTTCTACGTTTTTACGATGCGTATTTCAGAGAAAATATAGGCAGAGTTAGTTCTATGATTATCAAACTTTATGTAGAAGAAACTTAAGCTAGGCTCCAAACAAATTCAAGCGAATATACTCGTATAAGATTAGTATGAAAAAATGTTAAATAAAATCTTCAAAATTTTGAATGGCACAGAATAGTGCCGTGTCTATTCTCAGTAATTTCAGGGTATTCAGAGCCCTAACCCAGGACCTCCAGGAGCCCCAAAATGGACAAATAGAGGCATGGAGAGACAGACCTCGATAGAACATTGTCCAGGACACAATGGTTTAATGCTCATTCGTGCTTTCTTCATCCAGAAGGTCTTGGTCTACTCTTTCCACAACCCAGAGTGGATTATTCCTAAACTTGGACGTAACATAACCTTCATATTTTCTACGGAAATACAGGAATATACAAACTGAATAGACCCCAGTACTTTTTGAGTACCCCGCATGTGCAAAAGAGAAACACTTTCAAGTGAATATTTTTGATTTGGCGCATATTTGAGGCGCAATCAAGTAAATACTCTTCCCTCTTCTGCTCTGCTTACACTCTGCTCTGTCACAGCGAGTAACCCTTCGAAATGCGATTCGATTTCACGCTGGGGCTAGTTTTGCGATTGGGGGAAGTTGTGATTGAATATTTCTCGTACGAGTGCTTCCAATTTGCGCTTGAATTTAATATGCCTTAGAGCCTTCTTTAGACTACGAAAATGAGGAAGGAGTGAGGAATGCACTTACCGAAACAGACACAAAAAACCAAAGAGAGTTGGTCAACGCTTGAGAATATATGAAATCAAGACGCTGCAAGTCCTTTAAGATTGCCGAAGCTGTGTTGTAGTCCAACTTGTAGAAGTTTTCAACCCTTATTTTCTGTAAGTTTTCTATTTGTGGGGATCCTTATATTACAGTTGATTGATGCAGTACATGCAGTACCTGAAAGAGATAAAAGCAAACCAGTATAATCATATGGAACAAGTAGTCTGAAAGCTTAACACGGTCTAAGGAGAAAAGTGTAGTTCTCTCAGAAACATATAATTTATCAGGACGAATCGAATGTTCGATTGGCTTAGTGCACCACTACAACAGATCAACGGATTCATACATTGATCTATCTATAGCTTCCTCCATAGATTGATCCACAGATCCATCCATAGATCTATCTACCTAATGACAATAAATCTGAATCTTATGGTTTTTTTTAGTTGATTTTTGGTACATTCTTGGCGGATATCTTAGTGTCGATGCACGGGCAAGTCGACTAAAGCGTTCCAAAGGAGTGTTTGTACGTTGCCATGACATAATACCCTTTATGGAGATTATAGGCTTCTTTTTTGTAAGATTTGTCTTCTCTGCTATTCCAGATCGAGTTGAGAAGGCAGGATTTCAGTATTGCTACTTCTATAAACTGGTACCCGCTACTCAAGGATTACAGGGGTAATCAGTGGGTTTAACGGGGCCACCTGCCGCATTGGCTTCATCGCACGATGCAAAGTACAGAATTCGGTGGAACTATATGCCGCAGGTAGCAGTCCCGCTGCATTGGACATCCACTGCTACGATTCGAAGAGACAGCTCGGAAGAAAGTCAGTCTCATGCTATGGCGAATCTCATTAGAGTCTATACTCTATAGGGAGCCTCTGTAGGCTTATTTAAATGATGGTCCCCACCTTATGGAGCTGCGATGTGGTAAAAATTCGATTGAAGGACTGAACGCACTGCAAACTAGGGATAAAGATATAGGGAGAACGATCATCAGTCTTGCCTTTAATTATAGGACACAATACATACCTATAGATTCGTGTCTCCGTTCAATTTGGCTGACAATATCCTGGTCCTGGAGAAATCGTGCCGATCCGAGCGTGAATTGTTAATGGCGGTGACGAGGTGGGTTTGGACGGGTGTAATTTTATTGTTGCTTTGACGGCTGGACGCGATTTCGATGGCGAATGTGAGAAGGATGCTTTCATTTTGATTTGTATGCTCAACGAGGGATTGTGTTGTTAACTAACAATTAATGTTTGGCAAATTGCACAATTGGAAGGACAAGAGTTCAACAGACAAACGTAAACAACAAAATGATAACAAGAAGCAGAGGCACGGAGACCGAATTAAAAGCTAAACAAGGCAAACGTCGGCGGTGGCGGTGACGGTGACAGTGGCGTCGCCGGCTTTTTCGGGTGGATAGCACCAGTCCAGTACCAGAACCAACTCAACTCCAGTTCCAATTCCTTCAAAACAGCTTCGCTCTCCTCCTGCACTGCACTGCTGGCACTAGGTGGCGATTTTGATTATCTTTGTGGACATTTCTGCCCTGCCTGCCACTTATTCGCCAAGCCAACCAAAGACCCCCTTCTTTGCGTGTTTTCGGACGATCGTACGCGTTTTTATATGGCAGGAGTCATCCTCGTCCTCTGGCAACTCTGGTCTGGTCTGGTCTCTCCCTCGCCAGAGAGAAAATCCAAGAAAATCGCCTTGTCTAAAGCATTTTCGGTGTGGGGTTGGCTGCTTTACACTTCATTAATGTCATTAAATCGCTCCACTAGCTGTTCGCGAGCATTAAAACACTTTTCAATGTGTGCCTTGCTGCTCTGCTGCTTCCTCTTTATATTTTGTGTATTTTATGTTGCTGTTGCTGGGACCTGCTGCTGCCGTTCGGTTTTCTTGGACGTTATGTTGCGTATTCGTTGTGTTGCTCGATTTATGCAAATGCCTCGGACGCGAGCACTTCGCAAGCGGTGTAGCACTTTTTATTTTGTTATAAATAATAGATTTATTGAATGGCAAAACAAAATGTAGTCGAGTTGTAGTAACTAGGGCTGCAAGACCATCGATGGCACTATCGATAATATCGATTGTTTTCGAATAATTGTGCGATACTGCCCATGGTCGTATGACAGTGCACATGCTTACTCCTCATGTCTGAAAGGTGGAAAAGGTTGAGATCAAAGAAAATCCAAATATGTATATGCTGGACTAAAAATCCAAACTTACGCATACATTTCTCTCGCTCTCAATGCATGTAAGAGGTAGTTAGGTGTAGTGTCATACGACCATTTTCGATAGACAGGGTGGATAGAAAAAAATATCGGTATTTTTGTGCGATAAGTGGAACAAATTTGGCGGTAATATACTTTTATTTTGAAAAAACAATATTAGAGCAGAGATCGCAGCAATATCTAATTAAAATAACTGATTATTATAGGAAGTCCGGAATATTTTTCGTAATGAGTTAAAGTTAATTGAATTTGTATTCGAATTTATTTTTGCAGATAAGAGAAAATCCTTAAATTTAACATTAAAACAGAGTATGCCAGGGCTGCTTAACATCAAAAACCTACTTTCCACTAAAATGCCTCTAGGTGGCGTGATAGTGAAACAACGCGCAAACAGCTGTGCTTTAGTGTAAGTCTTAGTTTAGTGTAACTAACTAACTGTGAACGTTTAGTCACAACGTTAAGTGTTGAATTTAACAAAGAGAACTTGAATTGAAATAAATTGAACTGCTCGCTCTGCGCGCTTCTCTGCATCGAATCGACCATTAAAATATAAAAATCATACAAAATCAATACATATATACAAAATGTATAATTTCCGCTCATTGATGTTGGCCTGAAATTCGGTGCGGTGCGTGTTTCTGGCTAACGAAAGTGAAAACTCAAATACACGAATTAACATAAAAAACGCTTAAATAATCAGCCAAAGCGTACAATACAAATGCAAACAATGTGAAAAGATGCCTATCTGTGTGCTGTGCGTGTGTGTAGCCGCAGCAGCCGCAGTAGCAGCTGCGAGTATGTATGTGTACCGTAAGTGCATGAAGAAAACGAATCTCAATGATAACAAGAGCCATCAGAGCTAGATAATCAGCGATGATTTAACAAAAGAAGTGCCCCGAATCTGAAAGAACCTTCTGCCCAACCGAAATGCCTAAAGCAGAAATTGTGATTGAAATTGTCGTTGCGGCAGCCCAGCGACACGGACTCGAGAGCAAGCAAAATCGTTACGCTGCATTTTGACTTGGGGGGCGTCTGAAAAATCGATTGGATTGCCCGTAGTAAAGTCGCGAGTCGCGACCATAACAACACTACAGCAATGACGCTAAATGGAGTCCCGTGCTCCGTCCGCGGACGCGGATATCTAACCAAAGGTGAGTGTTCAGGTATTTATTTATTAGCACCGCACCGCAGCAACAAAAGCAGGAACAGCCAACAACAAATACGAGTGTGTAGTATACAAAAATGCAAAGTAAATGGCGCATTTGTCTGTGAGTTTCGGGTTTGTTTTGGTTTTGGCCTGGTTTTGCCATCAAATTTCGTAACAACTAAACCGAAAATACCTGTTCGTCACCCCGGCCCGGCCCTCCCCCTCCACAGTGTGTTTTTTTCTGTGTGTGGAGCACTGGGAGGGGGCCCCGCCACCCCATGCACTTGAAGAAGGCAGCATTTCCCCTTCACCTTCGACTGCTGCCTGAACTTTGATTCAAAGTCAAATTCTCGTTGTGGGTCGTCTGTCGGACGCCCCAATTAACGGTAGTTAATGTTGGCCCGGGGTACGGGAGGGATATGATTATAGAGGAGGAACAGTCATTGATTTTATTTACCATTTAATTGGGATAGTTTACGTTCGTTTGTCTGACGCAGAGTGGAATAATATATATATATTGATATTCTTAATACACGGCTGTAATTAGTCGTTCGATTGTATGTAAAAATAGATCAAAATACACAAGCGACCAGTGTGAGACCTTTCTATTCTACTTCAAACCGCCCACAACTGGCCACCGACCAGACCATCCCGATTCTAGGGAATTCACTGAAGGAATTGGTTCGGGGGGAACCAGGCATACGCGAAAAATAATGATTCTCAGGGGCTTTCTGTACGCGGAATGTTCCACAAATGAAACAGTTCGCTGGGCCAGCCAAATCTATTTTTACGCCAATTGCCTCGAGGCCGTAAACCGCCCACTTTACAGGCTCTGCTCTCCATGGGGCGGCGTGATGGGGCTACGTGAGTCTCCTCCATTGCTATTTAAACTCAAGTGAGTGCCCAAGCGACGTACGACGACGACGACGACATACGATCAAAATGGATCCGAGATCGTGGAGAAGCGGAGGCCAGGCTGGCCGTAATTGAATGTGGGGTAGTCGTTACTTTTCTGATTAGCATTCCCATTCCGTTTGCCATTGTGTGGATTGTTTGGATCGGATTAGGGCCCAGGGTCCCATTAATTGGGCACTTGGAATCCAGAATCTCAAGAGTGTAGAGAGTGGTGTAGCCCCACAAAGGAAATGGTTATCGAAAGTGGCCCAGTCCAGCCCAGCCCAGCAGTAATGCAATTGATTGTTATTACATCCTTCTTTCCAGATGGCGATCTCGAGATGAAAGTGCGCACCCAGTGAGCATTCTTCGCTTTAGTGAGCTATTCAGCCCCAGAGCCAGAGCCAGCCACAGACACTGATTGAGAGTGAGAGTGAGAGAACGCGAGAAAGGCAGAGATACCAGGTCCAAAATGAGAGGTAATCGCACAGAGCCCCGTTCGAATCGAAGCAAGCTATTCATTACTTAGTTTGATATACCAAAAAATAAAAAGGTCGCATTCTGATACCACTGCCCAACACCGGATCGATGGGACGGAAGCGCAACAACTTCTATATGCGGAGTATATTTCTACTGGCGCTCTGCATCTTTGGCCTGCTGCAGTACCACAACTTTAACTATCGTAAGACCTGCAATACGCTCTTCATTCGACAAACTAATGTCCTGTGTTGTCCTTTCCTTTCTACAGTGGAGTCCAGGGACACTGTGCTGGGAGATGCAGTCACCAATGACTCGGATGATGCCATCCTGGCCATGGTACCCGCCACACTGCACAAGTACTTGACGCCGCACTCGCGCAATCACAGCACCGCCGCTGTAACCGGAGCGATGGGCGGGGCCCGTGAGTAGAAAATGTAAAGTATATCTAATTACCATCCACTGATCCACTCCCTTTTTAGCTCTGCTCCTAAACACGAGCAGCTCCGGAGCGGCCACTGCAACCACAATCAGCTTTGACGTCTACCATCCGCCGAACATATCGGAAATAAAGCGTCAAATCGTGAGATACAACGACATGCAGCTGGTGCTTAACGAGGACACATTCGGTCCTCTGCAAAACGACTCTGTGATAATTGTAGTCCAGGTGAGTGCGGGACCCACTCACAGCTAAAGAATGTCCTCATCAACGTGGTGGAATTCTTACAGGTGCACACGAGGATTACTTACTTGCGGCATCTGATTGTGAGCCTGGCGCAGGCGCAGGACATTACCAAGGTGCTGCTGGTGTTCTCGCACGACTACTACGACGAGGACATCAACGATCTGGTGCAGCAGATAGACTTCTGCAAGGTGCTTCAGATCTTCTATCCCTACTCCATTCAGACCCATCCCCACGAGTATCCAGGCGTGGATCCCAACGACTGCCCCAGGAATATCAAGAAGGATCAGTGAGTATATCCTTGTGAACCAAAGCGGCGTGGAATAACTTATCCGATCCAATAGGGCCATGATCAGAAACTGCAACAACGCTCTTTATCCGGATCTCTATGGGCATTATCGGGAGGCGAAGTTCACGCAGACGAAGCACCACTGGATCTGGAAGGCGAACAGAGTGTTCAACGAGCTGGAGGTGACCCGCTTTCACACAGGTATGCTGTAGCAAGGATCACTTTGAGGGCAGTCCCACTTCAGATCCTTTTTCCGGCATTAGGTTTGGTCCTGTTCCTCGAGGAGGACCACTATGTGGCGGAGGACTTTCTCTATCTGCTGGCCATGATGCAGAAGCGCACCAAAGACTTGTGCCCCCAGTGCAACGTGCTGTCCCTGGGCACCTATCTGAAGACATTCAACTATTACACCTACCACAGCAAGGTGAGAACTGGAGGGGCAACGCGTCCCTTCCCTTCCTTACGCTAGAGCTTGCCTTAAGAAATCTTTTGAGTGGCGCATCGAGCGGCCGAATGAGAAAGCCAATGAGATAGAGCGCTTCGAGCCTTACCCTATTTTAAGTACTTGTATATTTATGTTTCAAGAACAACTTAACGCTTCTGTTGCTACCAGACACACACGCACATACTCACACGCGCCCACACATCGAACGTATCGACAATCATAATGCAATTTGGAGTGGATGGAAACATGAGGCCGATCCATGCCGAATGGGTTGGCTATTCCATGGAATATACCCTCTAGTACCAGACCGTCACTGGTTGAATTTGAATTTGAATTGAACACATCACACGCACACGTCCTAGCAAGGAGCACTAGTTCCCCAACGATTATCGTTCGATTAGCTAGATGCAGAAATAGTGCATTTTAGTCGCTTACCTGGTAGCTAGTTGAGTGACTAGCTAGTGGCCGATAAACGGCACGGGTTCTAGAGGGTAAATTCACGATCCACCAACACCCACACCCACAGTGCCCCCGCCTACATGCGTACACACATGACTGTGTGTGTTTATACTTTTGTTTACTTACATACAAACATATATCATGTATTATTATTATTGTATTTTCAATATCATATATATACTATATATCTCTGTTCTATTCCGAATTCTGGCACGCAGACTAACAAGAAATCCTATGCTTCCTCGCTGATCTCGACAAACAGTCTATTAGGATACAATAGGAATAATAATAATAACAACAACAACAATAATAATAATAACAACAACAATAGAAACTCAATGCAATTAGCCGTGTCGTCCTCCTCTTCTTCCACATCATCTGCGCAATCATCAACGACATCATTCAGAAACAACAACGCCAAAGTCTATGTGGGCGACACCACCAACAGCATCAACAGCAATAATAGCAACAAGAAAGATCACAATAAAAACAATAAGAATAATAAATCAAATAACATGCGAAGCAACCACATCAACACTGTCACCGCCTCCTCAGCCGCCACATCCTCCGACACCAACAACGAGCCAAATAGCAATAACAATAACAATAACAACAACAACAAAAATGGTGCACAAACATGGAACTATCATGTCCTGCCGTCATTGTATTCCGTCTATCAGAAGGTAGCCACCACACCACCGCTAGCACATGCTCCAGGCTGGCCTCCAAGTTCCTTCTAGTTAAAACTGCACCTGCGTATCCATCGTATCGTCCTGTCCCTAGTTTGAGCACAATTTGAGCACTGACTGTTTGCACTGGGATGCGTTTGTAGGACATTGAGAGGCCGCCCACCCTTCAAGGTGCTGCAAAGACATCCCGGAGGCGACACACGAATACTTTATTGGCCGTGTAGATTGCTACCCATCCTCCTTCATCCCCGCGCTTTGGCACTTTTGCATGTACCGTTTATACCGTTTGTACCTTTCCGTTCTTTGCTTCCTGTTCAATTTTTGTGTACTGCTATGCATTGCTATACTGTTGCGTTGTGTTAATTAACTTGTCTATGTGTCCCGCGATGGCATGCCACATCTCTGCCCCGCCCGTATCTGACCGTATCTGCCCGTACCTGCTCTGCCCTCCAGATACACGCACGCGTGCGGCTCGTGAAGATTGATAGCCAGAGCATCATCAATGACTATCGCAAGGTATTTGGTATGGCGTGTATCCCCATCGTTACATTATCCATCGTTCCGAATCACTGCCTAATCCTAATCACTGCTTCACCAACGGAAACGAAGGCAGTGCGTGTTTGATACCACTTGGGCCTAACTTGTCCCAATTTGCGACTTACTAAACACTAAATTGACTTCATTTGGCAACACACAAATCGTAGTAAGAGTTAGTCCTGTTTGAACGAATGAAATTTGCATGCCCAACCCCCTCTGCCTCCGCCCCTATCCGCTCCTTTCAAATCTGTTTCAATTTGTTCGTTTTAAACGATTGTCGATATTTGCGTACTTAACCCGAATCCCCCTTCTTCCCGTCTCTCCCGTCGACAGGTCGAGGTCATGCCGTGGGTGAGCAGCAAGCACAACATGGGCTTCGCCTTTAACCGCACCACCTGGACGAACATAAGGAGGTGCGCCCGTCATTTCTGCACTTACGACGACTACAACTGGGACTGGTCGCTGCAGCACGTCTCCCAGCAGTGCCTGCAGCGCAAGCTGCATGCCATGATAATCAAGGGCCCGCGAGTCTTTCACATTGGCGAATGGTGAGCAAGAGAGAGCCCTGTGCTTCCATTTTTAATCTAAGCAATTTCTCTTTTGCAGTGGCGTTCATCACAAGAATAAGAACTGCGAGTCCAACCAAGTCATCTCGAAGGTTCAGCACGTTCTGAAGATAGCTCGCAACTCGCATCAGCTCTTTCCCCGCTCGCTCACCCTGACGGTGCCCAGTCTGAGTAAGAAGACCAAGCTGCGCAAGGGCAACGGCGGATGGGGCGACCTGCGAGACCATGAACTGTGTCTGAACATGACGCTGCCAACGCGGTAGAGGAGGAGGCCAAAGGACTAAGCTCCAGCATTGAATACGAGTATAATATCTAGTTAGAGCTATTAGGAAGTAGCCTTAAATATGGTAACACTCAACCAGATTATGCACTGTGTATCAGTGAAGTAACCTAACCGCAAGTAATCGAAGCCAAGACAAGTTGTGCATCAGTTGCGCCTCCAAAGACCCTCCACGGGCGCGGCACAAATTCCTAGTATAAGTAATCCTCCTCTAGTCACCGGCCATATGCCAACCAAAACAACTCGAAACCCCCCATATTCGAATCCTTTCTGTGCTGTTTGCTCTTCGGTTTGGTAAAAATTACTTTGTATTGTTTGGGCTCCGTCCACATTAATGGCGAAAAGGTCCCAAGCAACGCTTACGACTCATATTAATACTTATACAACTCACTCGAATAGTACTCAATCGAATCGTCTATCGTAGTCCCAAAATGTGCCGAATCCTCCGTTTCGTAAATGGTCGAGTTTAGAGGTAGAGACAGGAGAGCAAGCAGTAAATCGCATAAACTAGTCATAGCACATGCGCCTAGAACCCCAGCGCATTAGAACAATATAACTAGCTCTTTGATAACTTATTATATAACGTTTTAAGCCTGTAAATAGAAATCTTTTGTTGTATAAATTACATAAGGTCTTTTTAATACACATACGTACATACATACATAATGTATTTAACTAATGTAATCTGTTATTTTCTAATTGTTAGTCGAATGCGCTTTTATGTACTAGGAATTTTTGATCATTTGAACGAGTAATCTTAGCGAATAAAAGCCAAGTGAACGCTGAACCAATCCACACACGCACTCATTCACTTTCACCCTACAGCTCGGTTGCACATGAGTGAGGAAATGTATAGCGCATATGCACAGGATGGAGCCTTTCTCTACTTCTTTGCATTCATGTGCAAACCCACAATATCCACAGAAGCCGTGGAATGCCTCTGCCTACGTGCCGGAGAAGATCACAGCGGTGGCAAGCAGATATGTGGGTGGCAAATATGCGCCAATTGTAGCTGTTGCCACCGACTGCAAACCCACAACCAGCCACATGCATGTATGTACGTCTTTGGTATATAAATTTGGTAAACGTCTGGAACCATTATTTAATTCAATATATTTCTTTATTATTTTTACATACACAAACAATTCTTTGCTCAAACTAGAAACACATTTTGCTGTTGAAACACTTTAACTATTGTTCTGTGTATGTCCATTAGGCATCTGAGCTTTAAAACATTCGTTTCGTTTAAAATCACTTCGAGCTGTTGTATTTTAAGTTAATTAAAGCCAGCAGCCAATAGCGGGTGCGTATTGTTTATGGTATATTTCCCCGGATAATCGGCCCGTCCATCTGAAGATACGAAATACTTTGTTGAATATTTGCAGTTACAAGTTTAAATTTGCCGGGCGATACCATCGATGGTCTGGCGAAACCATCGATGTTCGGCGTATTTTCCAGCCCTGGATGGCGCTATTGGATTTTTTGACAACACTACTTTGAAACTTAGTAATATTTTGGAAACCAAAACAAACAAACCAAAAAAATCGTAGATCCTAAACAAATGTCCCCAAAATAAAGGAACGTGGTGGCTGGAGCAGCGAGGAGGTTGAGGACCTAGGACGTTCGATTGCACAAATTCATGCTTTTCTTGCTTGGAAATTTCCGGCCCTGGTATTCGCGGTCGACGTTAGTTGCAAACGCGCAGCTGGAGCAACAACAACGCAGAGTTTTGATACTGGCAGCGCACAATCAGCGATTCAACGGACTGCCATCGCCATCTCAGAACACAAAGTGATTTAATAAGCTCTTGCCTGTTCGTTCTTTCGGTTTGAGTGCGTGAGAGTGTCTCTATAGCTGCAATCATGAGCAAGCAACTGGCGCGCCGTGTTGGCCAGATCAACAAATTCCTGGCCGTAGCATCGCCAAACGCTGCATCCACCCACAACACGTACTTCACCTATGTGCGTGAGCTGTCGCATCCCATCGCCCGTGACCCGCCAATTGTTCCGGTCGAGGAGGCTGTCTCCTGCATCAAGTCGGGTGAGTGCATGCCGAGAGGATTGCCCTTGTAGCTGCGCCCACGAGAGCCCCTTGGCCTTTGCTGCTGACCCGTAAACTCAGTTTTCAGTACATATAGAATGGCAACGATTTTGGTTATGTAATGTTTTGGCGTTCTAGTGGGCTTGTTTAGGAAAATATAATGGAAATGAAAATGGGACGCGGAGCAGGGCAGTGGCAGTCGTATGCAAATGTAATCCATGGGTGTGTGTGTAGTAGTTGGACTACTTTGAGCACAAGGCCCAAGGGAGGGCACTTACATGCACGTATAGGGTGTTCAATAGCTTTGACAGAATCAAATTGACCGTGATTATCGTCATTGTTGAGTGCTTAAGCTATCAGTTACTTATTTACCCTCCTTACATACTACTAGAAATGTGGTCCGCAACATACAAATCTAGAATTTCCGTCGAACTGCAGGCGGGGGTCATTAACTGTACATCTGTACATACACGGTGGCTACAGTGGAGCGTCGTATGTAGATTATATTTTTAGTTTGCCAAAGTTGTACTTTGTACCCTCGCCTGAAACAGCAACAACAGCTACAACAGCAGCAGCAAGCTGAGCTTATGCCGCAAGAACGAACGTCGCTCACACACACACACAACGGAATCCACACAACCGGCTATCGTCGTCGCCGCCGCTGTCGGCAGCTGTGCTGATAAGAGCTAATAACATTTAACACAGCTTCTTATGTAATGACTATCAGTGGGCAGGTGAACTAGCTTGTGTGTGTGTGTGTGGGTGCTCGTGTCATTTGGCAAATTATAAATTCCGTACTTTGTGGTCACAGAACAACAGGATAATCAGAAGCAGCTGACCCCCCGTACGCAGCATTGCTTTGATTAATTTCAATTTAGGCAATTGGGCGACTTTTGCCATGCAATCAATTGAGACCGTTAGCCCCCACTCCCCGCCCACAATTCACCGAGTAATAATCAATGCTTAGCACTTCGAAGGCCTCCCTCATCAGCAGGCCCATGCAAATTGATAAAAATTGATGTGTGGGGCGCCACACCACCACCCCACCACACAGCAAGAGCAACAACATCATCTACATATGCATGTGTGATATGTGTATGCGTATGTATGTATGCATATGTCGAGCAGCTCTCTCGCTTGCCGTCACTATTGGGTCCCGTTGCCTCTAATTTTAGCCAAATTCACCAACGCAGGCCACGGGCCACGCAAAATCTACTACGTAATTTGGTTGGAAATCTTTTTCGTGTGGCACGTTTCTGGCAGATACAATTTTGGCACTTGTATAGTAATCATTGCCTACACTGGAACCAGTTCTCCCCGAAACTCGTCCCAAGGTTATGTGGGAAACTTTCTTATAATTTCAATTGGCGGGGCTGACCCGCTGCTGCAGATAAGAATTTCACATATCGGATGATTTGTCATGACGTTAAAAGGGGCTCGTAAGAGAGGGGCTGCACATTGGTGTTGACGCCATTGCCCGTCTCATCGGTCATGTCATAGAGAACCGAGTGCTGCAGAAATAGATCATTCAATAGTTATACACTTTCTGGGAAGCGCTTCTCATGTATTTACAAGCATTTAATATGGTCACGCGACATACACTATAGAACTGTGGCCCGTTATTACTAACACACAAAGGCGGCAATCTCTCTACTCCCCCTCCCACCCGAACAAACATCTTGAGAGCTTTCAAGAGCCACGACAAAGGAAAGCTTTGATCGCTAGATTAGAGAGCAGATTCTGCTCGGAGCGGATACGATTGTTATCAGTTATTCACTTAATCAGTTAGTCACGCGACTGAGCTTCAATTAACTTCGAGAATATTTTCTAAAATGTTAATGATTGCTCGCTTCTTTTACCAGGGGACACGGTGTTTGCCCAGGGGGCTGCCGCCACACCTGTCGCCCTCCTGAACGCAATGTCTCTGCATGGAAAGTGCAACAAGCTGAAGGACGTCACCGTTTGTCACATGCATACGGAGGGTCCGGGAGAGTATTGCAAGCCCGAGTACAAGGACATTTTCCGCTCCAACTCCTTGTTCATGGGCGCCAACGTTCGCAAAGCTGTGGCTGAGGGACGTGGCGACAACGTGCCCATCTTCCTTCATGAAATTCCTCTGCTGTTCTACAAGAAGATCATCAAGCCCGATGTGTCCCTAATCCACGTGTCGCCGCCAGACAACCATGGCTACTGCTCGCTCGGCACCAGCGTCGACTGCGTCCGCGCGGCTCTGCTCAACTCAAAGATGATTGTTGGTAAGTGGCTCGCAGAGCGATAAGCCCTCTCGAGTGCTGTGAATTATATTCTGGTTCTGTGCAGCTCAAATAAACCCCAAGATGCCGCGAACTTTCGGTGATGCCATCATCCACAAATCGCACTTTGACTTTGCCGTCGAGGTGAACGACAACCTGCCGCAGCACGGCACTGGAAAGATCTCTGCCGTGGAGCAAAAGATTGGCAAACTGATTGCCGAGAATCTGGTCAAGGATGGAGCCACCCTGCAGATGGGTATTGGCAGCATTCCCGACGCCGTTCTGGCCGCCCTGCACAACCACAAGGACCTGGGCATCCACTCCGAGATGTTTGCCAACGGAGTGGTCGAGCTGGTCAAGAAGGGCTGCGTCACCAACAGCAAGAAGAAGATGCATCAGGGAAGGATTGTGGGTTCCTTCCTCATCGGAGATCAGGCCCTGTACGACTTTGTCAACGACAATCCCTTCATCGGTAAGCTACACACATATTCCTGCGAACATAAGACATATTTCCACTTCCTCTTCTGTTAGAAATGTACGGCATCGACTACGTGAACAACACCAGCATCGTAAAGCAGCAGCCCCGCATGACGGCCATCAACAGCTGCATTGAGGTGGACCTGACTGGTCAGGTCTGCTCCGACTCCATTGGCACGCGCTTCTTCTCCGGCTTCGGCGGACAGGTGGACTTTATCCGCGGAGCCGCCGAGGGTCTGGACGGCCTGGGTGTGCCCATCATTGCCATGCCCTCGACCACCAAGAATGGAGAGAGCAAAATTGTGCCCACGCTGAAGCCAGGCGCCGGCGTCGTCACCTCCCGGGCCCACGTGCACTACGTCGTCACGGAGCACGGCATTGCGTCGCTGTTTGGCAAGAATGTGCGCCAGCGCATGTACGAACTGATCCAGATATCCGACCCCAAGCACCGCGAGACCCTCGAGAAGGACTGCTTCGAGCGCATCAAGGTGATGCCATCGCCGAATTAATCTATCCAAATCTTCGATGAGAGTAGAAACATTTTCAATGTGGCCTGAATCCGAAATCAGAAATCCGTAATCCGTAAACGCATTCCCGAAATTGTTTGCAGTCTGACTTTGATAGCACTTTATAGCAGCGACCCGATGATAAGATAAGATCTGGCACTACCAAAATTGAGATGGCGTAATAAAACGAATTCATGTGAGGAATACTCGAAAAATTTCATTTAAATACCGACGACAGTTTAATTTCATACCACATCTATGAAGTAGGGGAAGGAGGAGGTTTCCGTGTTGGTTTTAAGGTGTTTAGTTTAGTTGTAGTTTCGTTTTATGTATATACAGTACAAGTCTGTGTCTTCGGTTCGGTTAGTGAGTTATGCTTCTGGGGAGTGCCTGTCCGGGCGCTGTTTAAGGACCTTTCCGCTTAAGATTACACGAGACGAGCACACAACGTTTTGTCTTTGAACTGAATGTAAATGTAAAGTTAAGGATAAGTGGTTAAAAGTTTTTGTTTAGGTTTAGGTGAGGGCGCTGTTCTCGTTCAAAAGTTCAAAAGGAACTAAATTGTATTCTCAGTATGTATCGTATCGTATCGTATCGTATAGTATTGTAAAATAGGGCCTAAAACACTTTGTTGCTTGTTAAATCTACACGTGAAGAATAGCTTAAACCATCATCGATGGATGGTTGACGATTTACGATGATTTTAGATTTGCTTTCCGGTTTACTTCTTCTTGTTGTTCTTGGCGTTTTTATCGCCGGCAGCGGCTGCGGCGTTCTGCTCGATCTTGGCCCGCTTCTTTGGGTGCTCGTCCTCCTCGTCCTCGGCCACATCGTCCTCCTCGTCCTCCTCCTCCATGTCGACCACCTCGACGTCGTCCTTGATGTTGTGGCCGTGAATGTACACGGGTCCACTGCCCTTGATCAGCTTGAACGTGACCTTGGACTCGTAGAACTCCACATCTGGATTGACGGCGCGCGTCTCGCCAGCCTTCAAGACGGCAATCGGAATTTGCACAGAGTCCTTCACTGTGTTGACCTGCGTAAGAGAATGGAGTCGTATTCGTTTGATTATGCTGATGGAACAGATAGATACAAGCTTCAAGTGGCTCAGAGACAGTTGCTGCCTTTGCAGACTACATTTCTAATTTCTTATTCGAACAGCACTCGGCACGATACGCGCCGTCCCCCCTTCGGAGCCACCATGGAGCCACACATCTGTGGTCGCTGGCTTTATCGCTTCTCTAATCATTGTCAGTCGACCCGCCGTCGAGCGCCTTCCCCAAAACCGTACCGTACCCTACGTCCCATGATAACCGTCTCTCGTCTCTGCTGTTCTGCTGCTCTGCTGGGGCCAGGCCCCGCATTCAGCCATAGTTTTTGCGCTTGACCATTCGCTGGCCCACGCTTGTGCGGAACGGTTCGGTTCAGTTTGGCCCCTACACCCCACTTACAAGAAATTTATCAACTGCACTCTCACTTGAGTGCCAATAAATAAATATCTGGCGGCCCTCCTCCTCTGACCGAAACTAACAAGTGGCTGCTAATTAAAATCATCTAGCGAAACGTGTAAAATATAACTCAAAGCCACCACACTCCCCCTTGCGAGTCCAGATTGTCAGCATGCGCGATAATGAAGGTACGTACTACGTCGAGAGCACACATTTAGCAGTGAAAGTAGATCCCTAGCCTGCCATCTCTAGAATGGGATACCATTCTGTCCTCCAGGCTACATGTGCCAGCCGCCCTCAAGGTAGAGCTTCGGCCTAGCCTGCCTATCAGATCAAAGGAGAATAAACGCCTTTCCCCACATTTTCATATCCATCATCGCGAGGGGATCATAATATCATAGAAAGGAATTCCCAATTAAAAGCGAAACAGGAGGACTAGTTTGCCCGGCGACAGAATAATCTAGTGTGTGCTTTCGAACGCTGATAGACAGGCGCGCTTCCTCTTGGATAAAGTTGTCCATCAAGCTGTCCCCAGCACAAATCACAAGACAACAGAATGGTGCGAAATGGCCGAAGGAATTCATTAGCGCACTTCAGGCCGCAGAAGATCAGGCCCGGCGATTATGGGTGTGACTGCGATTAGGAATCTCTGTACTTTTTCCCCAATCAAGCAATGACGCAGACACCATGACATCAAGACCACGACGGACCCCACACAGACGCAGACAGGCACAGGCCTATGTTGTATCTATTTGATTGGTCTACAAATGTGCTTCCAGAACCAGATCTCTATCGGGAGCGCCTGCCGAATGTGTGCGAGGCCGTGGGCACAAAGGCCCGTAGCTGCTGCAGCATGAGGAGCGTCCACCGCTTTCTGCCCGTCACAGATTGGCTGCCGAAGTACCAGCTGAACTTTCTTCCGATGGACATTGTGGCGGGTCTGACGGTGGGCCTCACGGCTGTGCCGCAGGCCATAGCCTATGGGGTGGTGGCCGATCTGCCCCCCGCCTACGGCCTCTACTCGGCTTTCATGGGCGGCTTCGTCTACATATTGCTGGGCACCTGCAAGGACATCACAGTGGGACCCACGGCGATCATGGCCCTAATGGTGCGGCCCTATGTGAACGGCAATCCGGACAATGCGGTCCTTCTCTGCTTCCTGTCTGGCTGCATTATCCTTTTGCTGGGTCTGCTCAATCTGGGCGTGCTCATGCGCTTCATTTCGGTGCCGGTGACCACGGGATTCACGATGGCCGCCGCCATCACCATCGCCAGCGGGCAGATCAACAATCTGTTTGGCATATCAAGCAGCTCCACGGGGTTTCTCGACGCATGGATACACTTCTTCGGCCACATCAAGGAAACGCGCCGCAACGATGTCATTCTGGGATGCTGCACATTGCTTTTGTTGCTGCTCATGCGGGTAAGATCCGAAAGAGATTCCCACCCCGCCCCACCCCACTCAAGGTGTAATTCGGGATTTTTCCTTGCAGAAAATCAAAGACTTGCCCTGTGGCTACCGCAGTCTCTTGAAGTATCTGTCGCTCTCACGCAATGCCGTGGCCGTGTTCGTGGGCATCCTTCTCTGCTACCTGCTGAGCCGCGGCTCCGGGTCACTGCCGTTCCTCGTGAGCGGCAGCATCACATCGGGCCTGCCCCCATTCCGGCCGCCGCCATTCCACACGCAAGATCCAGCTTCCGGAGAGCCCATTACCTTCGGTGGCATGGTCTCGAACGTTGGTTCTGCCCTGGTGTCCATTCCCCTGCTGTCCATACTGGAGAGCGTTGCAGTGGCAAAGGCTTTCTGTGAGTACTGCTACTGGCGTCGTTTCAAGCGTTACTGATTGCTCTTTTAGCCAAGGGAAAGATCGTGAATGCCTCGCAGGAGATGATTGCTCTGGGCATGAGCAACGTGCTCAGCAGCTTCTTCCTGTCGATGCCCATCACGGGCTCCTTCACGCGGTCAGCCATCAACAACGCCAGCGGCGTGAAGACCCCACTGGGTGGCGCCGTCACAGGCGCCCTTGTCCTCATGACCCTCGCCATTCTCACCTCCACGTTCGCCTACATCCCCAAGGCTACGCTGGCGGCCATCATTATAGCAGCCATGCTCTTTATGGTGGAATACGAGACCATAGCGGAGATCTGGCGAGCCAAGAGTGAGTAGGACCGGACTCCTTAGGAGTGCCTTGAATGTTACTTGTAATCTTTTGTAGAGCGCGATATGCTGCCCTTCCTGGTCACCGTCCTGTGCTGTGTGTTTTGGACGCTGGAGTATGGCATGGTAGTGGGCATCCTTTTCAATGCACTCTTCCTCCTGTACAAGAGCATGAAGCCGCAATTCCATTTGGAGACCCAAAAGGTATGACTAGATCAACCGGAACTTAAATATGCCACGAGCTTGCACTTCCTTCCTTCTCTGTGGCAGTACAATGGCATGGAGCTAAGCCTGGCCGATCTAAAGGGAAGCGTTGACTACTCGGCAGCGGAATATCTCAAGACTGCCATTTTATCCCACGTGACGGGTCGGCAGGGAGCCATCACGTTGGTTGTCATCAAGGGAGACGAGATCGGTTCGATTGATACCACCGTAGCGCTGGTAAGTAATGCCGTCCATCCAGTCCAGTCACCTCACCACTCCACTAACCCACTGCGACTCTACAGAACCTCATTTCGCTGCGGGAAGACCTTGCGCTGCTCGACTGCAATCTCATTTGCTGGAACTGGAGCGTACCGGCAGCAGGGGTGCTTTGCAGGATGGACAGCACGACGCGTCAGATGCTAAAGTTCTCAAAGAGCTTCCCAGAACTAATGGAATCACTCGAAAAAGAATCCGATTCAACGGTAAAGATATCCCAGATAGATGATTGAATACACAAGTCAATAAATGTGTGATAATCCTCTTTAAAGTCCCATATCAGTGTCTGCGTCTGTGTTTTTATTTGCATTTGTATCTGCGTACAGTTACTTATTAGTCGGGTGGATGGAGATGGGGGGGGAAGCATTCGGTGCAGATGTACAGACAAAAATTACCCTAACCCATGCCCTTGTCCATGAGAATAGAGAAACCGGTCCTTGCCCCGGCATAAAACACGGAAAAAAAAGGGGGGAAGAAGCAGAGCCAAAAGGCAGACGGGTCGGCAGACAGACGCATGCGGCGCGCGCATACACACAGAATTTATGCACACTCACCTCCACCACGTTGAACTCATTATCCTTGGCTTCCGCGCCGAGCAGAATCTGTTTGATCACCAGCTTCTGGCCTCGTGCGTAGTCCTCGTCCACATCCCACGTCACGCTATTGCTTTCGGCGGTCAAAGTAACACCTGAAAATTAGATCATTGGTTCTTAGTACCCGCTTATGTTTAACAAGGGGGAGCACATGTATGTATCTACTATGGGTTTGTATGTACGCCCTGTACTATATGTGCACAGACACAGTAATTAGTCAGCGGCAACCTTGAATAAAAACACCGGCAAGCGGCGTCTGCAGCTGGCATTGCCCTTTCACACATGCAAAACTCGAACCTCAAGACGCCTATTGCAGCTGCACTAGGATTAAATTGAACTCGGATAGGTCTATTATATTTACCATAGAATGATTCTTCAGCCATTGCAGTTATTTGGTTGATATTAATTTAAAAGAATCGAGCGTCGAACACGTGTTGAGCAAAAAATTTGCAAAATGGTAGCTAGAAGTGCAAGACCACCGATAACATCGGGGGTGGTAGTAGTGTTGGTCACTATCGATGTTTCTCCACTTATCGGCATGCTTTAGCCGAATCATTGTTGGGTACAGTCTGGAGATTCCTGAAATTTATTATAATACAATTTGTTTATTTAAACAATCAGGACTTCGATCTACATCACGGATTGGTCAACGACGTCCCAAAATGAGATTTCTACGTGATTTTTCATGAAAACCAGGGATGGAAGCAAATCATCGGCAAGATGTCATACAGAAGAGAAAGGTTTTAACAGGCTGATAAGAGTATTTCACATATTAATAATTAATACAGAGGCGAAACACGTTAGAACTGTATGTATTTAAAATAAATATTTCCATTTTCATCAAGTTCACGTGTATATCGATTAAATGCTCTCGTCAGTTTCTGAAGGTTTGCCAACCCTAGTCAACGCTTCAATATCATCATCACCGCCATCATTACGGGCACGTGTAAGAGTACAAAAAATTTCTTTCAATAATTGACTGTACAACCGTGTGATACAAGAACTACAAATGGAGTCCGAATCTTTTTATGGTAAGTAGCTACATTTTCGTGCGCATTGGCGTATCCAAATGTAAACAGCGTGGAAACAGAAACAGAATGGCGCTGCCTAGTGCCGGCCGACCGGCTAAAAGAAAAATTTGTTACATTTTTTTGCTTGTGGTTTATATTCCATTCTCCAGGTGTTACACTCAGCGAGAAAGACCCAATCGCACAGTTCGATGTACCCGATATTCCAGAGGAGTACGTCGTCCACTCACACAAATTGATAATAAAACAGATCTCCCTTGGATCCGAAGCGAAGACGGGGGAATTTAATGTTGTACAGGTACAGTATAGCATTTAGCATGGCTGTTGATGAGCAAGGCCAAGATAATAGTTGATTCGCAATTGCAGGCGGAGACAAACGTGAACGATGATGGTGAGAAAAAGACTGTGAAGATTCCGATAGCAGTTCTGAAGGTCGGTGAAACGCGCAGCCTGAGACCAAATGTGGAGTTCCCAAATGGATCAGTCACTTTCAAACTGGTGCAGGGCACTGGGCCGGTCTATGTCTGCGGCAAGGTATGGAATATTGACTTGTGAATACTCTCTTTTCCGGTTCGTGGTTCTCATTTGTTGTACTTTTTCCAGGCCGAGATGAACTTTGGCGAGTTCGACGACGGGCAGATGTATGAGGAGTACTCCGACGACGAAGAGGACAGCGATGGGGACTTCGACGAGGACGCTGTGCCGCAGACAAACGGCAAGAGCAAAATTACAAAGAAGTAAAGTAATAATAAACTATCGAGTAAGCTAAAGAAATGATACAAAAGAAAATAAAACAAAACAGAAAAGAAAAGAAAACGCATAAATATTTTTCAAAAGGATTGGACTCAAATAAATCGAAACGCTCCTCGGGCGTGTGTGTGGTGGTTGGTCTATAGTATATGGAATTTTATTCATTGTTTTATGTTATGTTCAAATATGTCGCTTAATACAAAAGAATTGTGGCAGTTTTGAGAAGAATGCTCACGGAAGATAAAAAAATGGCCGCCACCGGGATTTGTGCTAGTTACAGGCTCGCGCCACAGAGATCTTCTGGCGCGGCACGCTGAAACGAAATCACGAGAGAGAGAGAGAGGAATCCATGAATTTGGGGGCGATTCAGCTCTAGCGGATCTATATCCATACCGTATGTGTATGACACGACGCCTCTCATCGCTGGGATGTATGAGATCCAGTTTCTGGCTCCACTCGATGAGCTTCATTTCGTGGCGGAGCTTCTTCCGATCGAAGTATGAAATGACACAGCTGATGGGTATCCAAAAGACTGAGGTGACCAGCACAACGGCCACTGAAAAGCGCAAAGGGAGTGCCATTAGCCATTTGCCACTAGCCGTCAGCCACTAGCTTAGTAGGTTAGGAGGCTACTTACTGACAATGTTGTCCTTGAGAAATCGCAGGGTTTTGGCAACATTGATCTCCTCGATGATGTCCCAAAAGCGCTCGACCACATCCTGTATGGTCTTCTCGCACACGCCCTGCACAAATACAAATACAAATACAAACTCAAGTACAAATGACGGATAAACATGGTGGAGTGGATTCACCTTATTGCAGAATCCAGTTATGCAGGGCGTGCCATCGGGCAGCACATCGGGCGGTTCCACCGGAAAGCATGTCTCATTGATGCTCATGCGGCAGCAGCGCTTGCAGGCATCCACAATGATATCACACATACAGCTCTGCAGGCCCTGCGTCTCGCAATAGGGCACGCACTTGCCGTTGCGGCACTGTCCCCGCTCCTGGCAGATGGTGCCATCCGCCATGGCCGGCGACTTGGGGCACTCGGCATGGGCGCCCGTACACCGCGCCTCCTGCTCGCAGGTGGCGTACTGCGCCTCCCGGCACTTCATGCCCGAGGCCATGAACTGGCAGTTCTGGCAGCAGGGCGAGTTCTTGTCGCTGCACATGGCGCCCTGGTTGCGACGGAGCTTGCAGTTCTTGTCGCAGCACGAGTCATTGTCCTCGGTGCCCAGCAGCCCCGCATCGCACTGCTCGTCGCCCTCCACGCGCAAATTTCCGCAGAATGACTCCTCCGGCTCTGAGAAGCAGCGACCAGACTTGGCCTGCAACACTTTGCGTATGGACCGAAGCGAGCAGGGTGAGAATTTCTAAAGGAAATCCAGAATACCATAAGCCTGCCAGAGCATACAATTATTTTGAAACCCGATCCGATCCTACCTTGTTATTCACGTCGTAGCCGCTGACCGAGTAGGTGTACATGAGAAAGCTGCCGCCCTGCGAGGCGCTGGGCGAGCACTCCGGTATGTCTGGGTCATGCTCGGAGCCCCAGTTGTGTCCGAACTCATGGGCCGTGACCAGATCGGCCTCGCGTGTGATCACCCGCTGGCCGTAGTGGTTGCGCGAGCTGCTCAGGCCCGAGTTTAGATACAACGTGTATCCATTCTTGAAATATTCTTGGGGGCGGACAGAGGGAGGACAGTATTAGTTTCTGTTGCTGGACATTCGGCTGATTAAATGCTAAAAACTTGAACGAAACCAAAGAAAAACAAATAGAACGCAAGTGTGTAAGCCAAATGATAATGACGAAACGAAACGAAACGAGTATTGATTGTATCTGGGATTAGCAACAACCTGGAGTGCAAATGCCGCCAACGGAGTTGCGACGCGGGGAGCCAACGTAAGCCAAACCTAAAATGCCGCCTTCGAATTTCAGATCGGTAAAGAGATGAGCTAAGCAAAAGTCTTTGTGGCTGTACTCCCGGGAGAAGACCTACTCCCGGGGCAGATACAGATACAGACACCGATACAGACACAGGTTAGCAGTCACAGAGGGATTAGAGTAAGAGAGAGTCCAAGAACAAGAGTTATATGAGAGATAATGAGGCACAAACAAGTACAAAAGTACACAGCTACACGACACAATTGATTAAACACGATTCGATTCGATTCGATTCGACTCGATTCGACTTTGGCCTTGCTTCGGCCGACACTACTCACCTCCAGCAGATTGCGCACATCCCACTTCTCCCGAATCATGTTGTAGTGGGCCTCCCCGCCCCGCAGCCGCGTTGGCTCCGAGTGCACCACAATCTTCTTGATCACGAAGCCCATGCCCTTGAATCCCTCCTGATCGGAGCGGTCCTGCCACACCGTGTCGTTATAGATTTTGTGCACGCGATCTATAAGACTGATCTGTAAGGGGAATTAAATGATAATGATATTAATGGTGCTCTTTGAGACTATGAATGCCAACATCTTACCAAGTAGTTTATGGTTGTCTTTGTGTTGCCTCCACCCATCTCCTGGAAGAACCGATAGTCGGCCACTAGCAGCAACGGGCAGCGGGTCTTGGTGGGCGTGTACTCGTACTGATCCGACTGGCGCTTCTCGCGCGAATGTATCTCATTGTCCAGAGCGTCGTCATCCTTGTCTTTGCCCTCCAGCTCCAGACCCTCCTTGATGTATCCACAAGTCTTTGGGGTGGCGCCTTGCTCGTTTTTATGCAGCTTCACATCGGACGATTTGTATGCCACCATAGTGTCCTTTTTGGAGGCAGGCAAGTGGCGCCACGAGGGCTCAATGTGATACGTTTCGTCCGGCAAGTGGATGGACATGGTCATGGTACCGTCCTCGATGTGGGCGCGCACCGAAGACTCTAGCTCGCCAAATACCCTACCCGTGTAAAAGCTGTCGTGATCTGTAAGGAAGCAGCCTCGGTTAGTGGCGACCTGTCCGTGCGAGTGGGGGAATCGATGGATATTTACCCATATGGACCACCGTCTCGTTGCCATCGGCATCCACGGCATAGGCGCGAAATTTGCTGTGGAGGACCTCGCGATGGGGATGTAAAATCAGTCGAAAGTTTTTGCCCAGTGTCGTGAACTCCACCTCCTTAATGGTGTTGAATGGATTTTTGCTATGTTTAATACCTCTCTTGACCACCCTATGCAAAACATCGTCCTTGTGAAACAGCTCGTAGTGGCGCAGCGTCCTTTGCAAGGCAACTGAAACAACAGATACACCAGAACTCAGTCACGAAACTCAGCGTGGGAAAGGCAGTTTATGCTCACCGCAGTTTTCTATTAAAAGGCAGGCGAAAAAAACATAGATTATCGTAAAGCCACAGCAACTAATGCATTTTGTAAACATTTTTCGCCCGCAATTGATATTTTTCTGCATTATTGATTTTTCGGGTCCCCAGCTTCAGCTGTTGTCTCCATCCCTGCCAATTCGATAGGTTTTCCATCAGCTGGCTCCGATAACACAAATACAGAAAAGAAAAGGTTTACTGTACCTTGTACCTATGCCTGTACTATTCAAATTTGACTATAAGACTTCCTACTTTCTCTTGATTTTTGTGGCATGATGTTGGCGTGGATCTGCCAAGACGGGTATGGGCGCCAGCTTATTGTCGACCCCATAAAATTGACCATTCAACGTCTTCCTTCTGGGCTTGGGCATTCTGTATAAGATTGAAGCGTACAGTTGACCCCCCATGCTACACTAGTAGACTACTTTTAATTTACGACTTATTACCTGTTAACGTTTGATCCATAGGTGGCGATGGTTACGTAATTCTGTGGAACGTTGTCTAGGAACTTCGTATACCGACAGCGCAGGTATTGGCTAAGGCGACACGAAAGACTTGTCTTCAAATGCTCCAATTGATACTCGAATCTGGGCAAGATCGTCCAATCTTTGCACGGGAGATGAAGAAAGTCCCGGGGTCCCTTTGCCTCGTAAATGTCTTGCTTCTGCACTTCCGGCTTGAACTCTTTAATGAGTTGATCAATATCGAATTTGACTGGCAGATTTGTAAACGGATCGCAGATAGAATTGGCCATCGTGTGCAGTATAGTATTTCTTAAACAAACTCAAAATTTAACTGAAACTTAAAACAAAAATATGAAAAGGAACCTGCCTACTGGACTACTGTACAATTGATATTCCACTAAATTGTATATTTGGCTTATGTATTTAAACTGTTACATATTTCTGTGTGTGTGTTAGTGTTAAATGTACAAATTCAAATGGAAATTGAAGTAAGGTGACGGGGAGAGAAGGGACAATCTTTGAATCTTTAATCTTTAAATGTAGGTCTAAAAGTGTAGTTAAAAGCTATCGCTCTAGTTCTAGCTCTAGCTAAGATAATATTAATTAATTTGCAGCTGTTTATTTATTTCTGGAACTCGGCCATATTTGCTTCGAAAATTACCGTGTTGATCTTGTGTTTGAGGGCGATGAGGTTCTCCCGATTGGTGATGGCACGCAACTCATTTGCCACATACTCGCCGTACGTGGAGAACTCATCGCGCGGCGGTAAGCTCACGAGCGACGGTGAGGCGGGGCTGGAGAGGGATGAATTGGCCGCCTTGGTCGTGCTCCCTGCGGTGCTGACTTTTGGAAGTCTGATGTTAACCACAGGATTACCATTATGCGTTGCGTCCGAAATAGTGGCGTTGTGCGAAGTGTTGCTGGCATCGTAGTAGAGACGCTTGGCTGGGGGCGGATGCAGGTGATGCTCGTCATAGTAGCCGCCCTCTGCGTCTGGCACTGCAGTGGTGTCGCGCCTGGGTATCTTTATAATGCGACCGGAAAGGACGTGCACCGCGTTACTGGATATGGCGGCAGAGCTCTGCGTTGGAGTCGACTGATAGTGGAGCTCTCCGTTTTCATTGGCCTGAAAGCTGACCGCCTCCACAGGATCATGCATGTCCATTAGCGACTGCTGATGATGACCCTCGAGCGCTTCGTGTTCCTCCTCCTGGATGACATGGCTGACATACCGCACATTTATCTCTTTGCCCAATTTCGGCTTGACTTCCATTTCCTCTTGCTCCGACTCCTCAATGATGTCCTCATCGACATCTTTGGTCGTCTCCTCAATGAGCTTCTCCAGCGCGTTAGACCGAGTGCTGCGCTCGTCCGATTGCATATCGCTCTTCAAACTCAAACGGCCCTTAGAGGATCGACAGGCGTAGGGGGAACTGAGAAAGGCGAGATTTTTGAATCCAAACCACTTTGAGTTGTATGGCTCCTTCCGTTTCATGCGATTTATTTCTCTGTGATATTGAGTCCGCAGGGTGTGGAACTTCTTCTCCAACTCGTTTGTGGGTATGTTCCCGCCAAGAGCCTGACCGACTTCGTTCAAGAGACGCTGCTTGACATCTTTCTTGCGATATTCGTCACATGTCATGTCCCACAGGCCACGACGACACCGGTATTCGACGATGAGCTGCAATGTCTTCTCCCTGGTCCACTCCATTTTTAGCACAGCTGCTGCCGGGCAAAACGATGTCACTAGTCGCCGAGGCAGAACAATGGGCTCCCTGTGCTCCCTTTGATCGAGACAAGAAAACACACATTTATTAGCTATGTACATGCAAATACAGCGGCAGGTTTTTAATAGCCACAGCCACAGCCACAGCCGCAGAATCAAAGAGTTACCTAAAAGCAGCGCGTTAGCGTCTCAAATTGGTGTGCGCACTGGCAGCACTAGCTCTGGGCAATTTATTTTGGTTACTCCAAAACAGTTGTGGCAGCTGCAAACACAATTTGTTGTGGGCATCCGTCGTTGCTGCTTGTTTATTTGCTCGCATCCACGTATCTCCGTTGAACCGTAGGCGTGTGGTTCGCCTTAGCACTGTAGCGAGTCGAAAGGCAGCGCGGCAGGATCAATTAACAATATTTTATCCCTTATTTGTTTAATTCAGACAAAAACTATACGCAAGGCAAGCTCCCCTCTCCTCTGGTAAACGTAAACGCAATGCTATGTATACATGTACAGTCTTATCGATACATCGATATGGCGGAAAAAACGCGGAATTAGTGCCAGTGTTCAAAAACGCGATAATGCTATGTGCAAATGCGAAGATAACAAATAACAAAATAGATTTATTGCAGATGAAATAGAGTTTGTCCGACAGACTAGTGAGTTTTGAAGCTGAAGTGGGATCCACAGAAAATCTGTATCGTTTGGTTTTTCTTTAAAGATACAGACTTTGGCACCTATGGACAATAACAACGTGGGCAGGCTTACGGAAGAGTCGCTAAAGCGGAAGGAGCGATTGCAGAAACTGCGGGAACAAGTCCAAAACAAAGGCACAGATTCGTCCGAACTAAATGAAAAGTTGCCCAAGTAATTATCGTATATATGGCCATACATGGGACCATTGTTTAAAGGAAAACTTGTTACACTTGCAGGCCAGTTTTCCGCAGCTACAAACCACAAAATGAAAACACCATCGGGGAAGTTCTCTTGCAGGAGCCAACGGGGAACATCGAGTCCGCCGTTGAAACGCAGCTGAATTTATTGCAACAGCCTATGGTAATCGACGAGATAGACATAAGCAACTTGGCCCCACGGAAGCCGGACTGGGACCTTAAGCGCGATGCCAGCAAAAAGTTGGATCGCCTGGAGCGCCGCACACAGAAAGCCATTGCCGAGCTCATTCGCGAGAGGCTGAAGATGAACCAGATCGAGGATATCAGTCAGGCTGTTAACGTGGCTGCAGCTCAGGCCGGCGGCACTAGTGTCGAGGACGAGTACGACTAGAGCAAAACAATACAACTAAATTTTATTAAAAACCTATCAAGAATGAGAATAAATTAACGATAAGTAACGCTAAGCATATTAATGATTCCTAGCGGCGGTTCTCCTTTCCGCTACACGTTGATGATAAACGTTCCTTCAGTGTGAGTATCTCTGTAAATAGTAGGAGAATGATTACGGAACAAACGGTGTAACTTTCAAGATCACTTACGTTTTGAGTACTTTTTCTCCAGGGTGTTGGCAAACTGTCGCATGGATTGCAGTTGCTGTGGGATTTCCTCGCGTAGCTCTTTGATTGTTGCACGCGCTTGCCGAATCTCATTCTCTCGTAGAGACAACAATGTTTCCTTTTCCTTAATGGCCTTTTCCTGCTGGAGAGCCACCTCTGTGCGCCAGCCTATGGTTTTTTTGTGGCCAAGGATCTCCTGGTTTTGCTTAAGGATTATCTGATTGGCCTTGGCAATCTCCTCGGATGCTATTTCCAGCGCTTGCCGCTTGGTGTGCAAAATCTTCTTCTCCGCTTCCAGCTCAGCGGCAATGTTGGCCTTTTCCTTATTTCCCTGCTGAATGTGTTCCTGCAGTTCAACGGTGTGCTGCTTGAGGTCTTCGATTTTGTACTCCAATTTGCGCTCGTGCTTCTTGGCACTGATTGTTTCGGCATGGAGCTTATCGTTTTGCTCTTTTAGGCTGCACAAGCGGGACTTGCAGCTGGATAGCTCATCACTTAATGCTTTGTTGCGCTTGTCGGCCTGTTCTAGGGCTATCTGTGTGTCGCATCTATCAGCGATTGCCTTCTCCAACTGTGTCTGGATGCTGGAGATCGATCTGCGATTGCGTTCCAGCTCGTTGCTGCGCTGCTCGTTCACCTTGGCCACTTTCTCCTGCATTTGGAGCAGCTCAGCAGCGTGTTTCTCCTCCAGTCTGTGCGTATTCTCAGCCAATGCCTCTCTTAGTTTTTTGTTTTCCGCCCCCACTCTGTCCATGTGCGCCTGCTGGGAATTTAATTCTAGCTGTGCCTGCTGAACGCTCTGCTCCAGCAAAAAGCATTTCTTGTGGGAGGCATCTAGCATGATATTTATGTAGTAAAGGACCGTGTTTAAGGGTGCAGATCGGCAGGGCAAACACAGGTGTATGAGGTTCTTAAACGATCTTATTTCCACAAACTGCAGCTGGAAGTCGGATCCGTTTGGATCCCGAGAGGCCAGGTGCAGCTCCAATTTACCCAACTGGCAGTCTTTAAGCATGCGCACCACATTGTCCATGAACCCGGCGAAGGTCACATTCAGGGATTGATCCTGCTTCAGCTCGTGAAAGGATGTACTGTCCACAGTCGTAATATACATGTGACGCTGATCAGTTTTCTCGGCTAAACGGAGTTGCTGAAAATATGAATCTTTAAAATCTGGGACGCCTGTTCGAAATGGAATCCACTACGCTCACCATCATCTCCTTGAAGTCAATTTTTTCAGCGTACAGTAGACAAGCCTTTTTGGCGCGCATCATGTCATGTGAGAAGCAGACCAGCATTTCCACGCTCGGCATAATGGTCACTACGTTCTTGCTGTAATCCATATTTTCGAAACTGTCCCCATTGCCTGGCGTCCACATTTCAGTTGGAAAGTTAAAAACATAAATATTGAAATTATAAACAAAAGCGGGGCTGATAGTCGACTATCGCCCACATCGATATGTTGGTTTTTGCTCGTTCGATAACACTGGGATTCTCTAGAATTTACAAGATGCCCATCTCTATATTAATAAAAGAAAAACGCGAAAACACATAGAGAAAAGAAAAGAAAATAAATACATACATATGTCTGTACGTAAGAGCTGAAGATGTGGTCAGAATCGGTAAATTATAAAAAAGGTTGTTTTATCCACACTGCAGACTGCGAAAGTCTTCGTTGGCAGCCTGCCGTCTGGCTGCAAACCGGACGAGCTCAGACGCCTCTTTTCAAACTATGGAGCTGTCGTTGAGGCAGATGTTATGAATCGATGTGGATTCGTACATTTAGAGACTTCCGACATGGCCGATGCAGCCATAGCGGCCCTCAATGGAACACTGTTCAAAGGAGTTTCAATTGTGGTTGAAGCAGGCAGGCCAAAAGAAAGAAGCAGAAATGGAGCCGGCAGTCGTGTCCCGCCAAGTGTCGGTGGTGGCTCGGGACGCAGATCCTTGGACGGTAAGCATCCCAGTCGTACCGATGTATGTATATTATTTTCAAATTTAAAGTATCTTTCGCACAGGTCAAGGAGCTGCATCCAACAACAGGCGCGATGGTGGTGGGAGCGGAGGTGGTAGATATGGCAATGAAGGTGGATTCAACTCGAATGGCAATCAGTTTGGGCCCATAAGGAATGAGACAAATTTTAGACAGCAGCGGAATGCACCATACAGCAAGGGACCACCATCCCAGCAGACTTCGAACGAGTCCTCTCAAGGATATAGGAACAAATTCAGTGTGGGAAGCAATGGAGGGGCTAGTAGCGGTGGTAGAAACGGTGATGGTGGTCGCTTTGGCAGCAACCGGTTTCAACACAGGGATAATAGTGACGGGCCGGGATCTAGCAATGCCAATAGAGGAGCTCCCCAAGGGCCCCTTGGCCCCAGGAGGAACATCAAAAATAGTCCGTCTAGTAACAATGACTTTCTTGCTGGAAGCTCTAGCTTTAACAATCCGAGGGGGGGCACAGGTGTGGGTCCAGCGCATAGTGTAAGGCAAGATCGTCGTGGTTTCGCCTTGCCAGTGGAGCAACAGCAAATGACCTTCGGTGTACAGCAAAATCGCTTTCGCAATGGCAGCAGCACTGGCAATCGCAATAGTTCAGGAGTGAACGGGTAGGCCTGCAAGGAGTCAAAAGCGTCCCCTTAACTATGTTTTTAATTATATTTTACTCCAAGTGCTGATCCGCAAGGTAGACGTGGGAACTACAATGACCGCGGTGGATTTAACGCTAGACGTGGTGCAGCCAACAATGAGCACAATAGACCACAGCGTCAAGGAGGCGCCTCCAACAAGCCCGGAGGAGCAGATCGACACGATCACAGTGCATATCAAACAGAGTTTCCTCCGCTGGGAGGAAGGCAAGAAGGCGGCCGTGGGGGAGGGACAGTGCATCGAAACCGGTTGGTATGGCCATCATAATTAAATATTTCGTACTACATGGTGTATTCGCATCTACAGCTTCAACGGTCCCAGACCTGGACCAAATAACATGGGCGGAAATAGAAGATTTTGAAGAGCTACAAAGTAATTAATACCGTTTGCAACCCATAGGCAACTCAAATGAATATTGTAATAGCCAAATTTTGTTTTCCATTGTCTCGTGCGCCTTCACCCGAATTACCCTTATTTAATTTAAGTTTCCTTTTTTCATTCACCCTGATGCAGTACTTTTAAGGCCACATCAACAGTATATGTATTTGTTATCTGTAGCTAAGATTGTTACAATATTTACTGCAATACTTAAATAATCATATAAATTATGTGCAACTAGATACGACGAGTCAATCCATACAATCACAAATACCAATTACTCTTGTTTTGAATTTGAACAGACGGCAGGGTTGTCAGGTTCTTCTTTTTTCGTAAACGCTTATCGTTATCGGTATCAACTTCCGTAAAGTTGCACTGGGTCTTAAAAAGAAAAAAGAAAACAAAGAAATATCGAAATGTCGATTGCCTATACATCAATTAGTTGCAGGAGTATTTAAAACAAAACACAAGTTCCGAAAGCTGGTAGCACTGCGGTTGAGGTGAGCCCCCGCCCCGATTGTGTCCAACAGCCAAAACCGCCATCATCTGTTGGCTTAAATCGTAACCTCCATTCTATATGCACATATGTATGTATGTATATACTTTCCTGCAGTTGGAGTCGGACGCTTCTGACAAGCTTAGCATTGAAAATGTGGAATCAAATTCAACCTGTCTGCTGTGCCAAGGCCTTGCTTGTGATCGGCGTGATATGTGTGCTCTCATTTGGCATAGGAAATGCCGTCCACATCCCAGCATATGGTAGCAGCGAAGGTGCGACGCGGCCACCCGACCAGTTGGCCACGCTGCCAGGCCAGTTAAAGTTTGCGCATGTGGTAAGTCTTATCGTGGGGTTGTTGGTGTTGCAATTCTGTTTTGTTTTATCATATTTATCCTATTTGATTCGCTTGAAAATCAAACGTATGCAACGTAGATATTTCGACACGGAGACCGAACGCCAGTGGACCCATATCCGACGGATCCCTGGAATAACATAAAGTTTTGGCCCACTGGTTGGGGCCAGTTAACCAATGTGAGTGTAGCCTCAAGGCCGAAAAACATGAAAATAATGTTGATGTTTTCTGTATTTCAGCGGGGAAAGGAACAGCACTACGAGCTGGGCAAATGGCTGCGAAATCGATACCAATCATTGTTGAGCTCCAGATATACGAACGAGGACATCTTTGTTCAGTCCACTGACGTAGATCGTGCCTTGATGAGTGCGCAATCAGCTCTTTCTGGACTGTACGAGCCTCAAGGCAATGATATATGGAATCCCCGCATAGATTGGCAGCCTATACCTGTGCACACCATTCCCGAGAAGGACGATTCCATACTGGCCATGAAGGCGTCATGTCCAGCCTACGATTATGAGTTGGCCACGCTGGAGGCCTCATCAGAGTTCCACGCTCTGAACGAACGATACCGCGAGCTTTTCTTCTACTTGAGTCAAAATAGCGGACGCCTCGTCAAGTCCTTTATAGAGGCTCAGTACTTGAATAACACGTTGTTTATTGAGAAACTTTACAACATGACACTGCCCGTGTGGACGGAAAAGGTCTATGGCAGAGCGGACCTCACCTACGTGTCAAATTTTGCCTTCTCAATTGGCACGTACACGCGCAGTCTGGCGAGATTAAAGGCGGGCCCCTTGCTAAAGGATATCTTCGAGCGGTTTGACAAAAAATTCAACAGTCAATTGACGCCTGATCGTTCGGTGTGGATCTACAGTGCCCATGACACAACGATTGCCAATATTTTGAATTCCCTGAAACTATTTGAGTTGCACAGTCCCCCGTACGCCGCATGCATTATGCTGGAGATGCGCGTGGATGATAGCAACACTCCGTTGGTGTCTGTGTTCTATAAGAACACCACTGCGGAGCCTCTGCCCCTGGACATACCCGGCTGTGGCTTGTCTTGCCCACTGAAAACTCTAGTCAATCTCTACCAAGACGTTCTTCCAAAGAACTGGGAGAGTGAATGCAAGCGTTCAACCATGATGATGACCTATGAGGAGGCGAACTTGGGTGCGGCGACAGCTATACTCATATTCATCATTACCGTTCTTCTGTGCGCCAGTTATGGCCTGATGATCTACTACCGTCGCCGTAATTACCGTCTGTATACATCGTACTCCCCAATGGCATAACGACCCGAATCGAAGAATGCATGTTATTGTTTATCTCGGATTTAAAGGAGCGTTTCCTACTGCTCTCTTACCAATCCAATGTTTTTTCTGGTTCTCAAATCGTGTTGCTACTCAGTTATAATGTGCATTTAAACACAAAATTAGTCGATCATTAACTTTTTGTATTAAGGATTAAGGAATAACTGCTAGCTGATGGCTGATGGTTGATGCTATTGTTGTTATTTCGTGGAATAGTAGATGGAAAATGGAAAAAAAGACAAAGACTGTGAAATGGCGATCTTGAAGTTGCATACATATATATATATATATACATATACCTATACATACTTACAAATTTATACACATGTACATTTTTATAAAAGAAGTTATCTCTTGAATAAGAGATATTTACTGTATTATAAACCACGCTCAAAAACAAACTGAAGTCTGCTTTTATTTGTGAACAAAACAGACGCGTTCCTCCGATTCAGAAGAGAAGAAAAGCTGCACTCTGTTCATTATACTACAATTTGTTTATTACGCCTCGCATTTGCCTGCGATTTGCCTGCGCTTAATTATGGTATGGTACGAGTATAGTATGGTTAAATATAGATACGATACAGTTAGGGTTACAGTTAGAATGTAGCATTAAGTCTATGTACAACGAAGGCTGAGAATGTAGAACCTGTTTTTGGGGCAGCCACTGCGATGCGGCTGACTGACTAACTGAGACTGAAATAGATGTAGATATAGATGGAGATGGGGATGTGTGACTGGACTGTCTGTGGGGAAAGAAGTCAATTAAGAGTCAAGTTTATCTGTAGGCCTTGTCATCCGAGTATATGATATAGGGCTGGTGTTGATGTTGGTGCTGATGCTGCGTCAGGCTTTCTGCCCCATCGGCATTCCCAGGGACTCCCCCTCCCCCTCCCGCACCCGCTCCACTGAAGTATGACATGCGGGACATGGTTGAGTAGGCGGCGGCTGCAGCAGCCGCCTGTTGCTGCTGCTGTTGCTGTTGCTGCTGCTGCTGCTGCTGGCGCTGAGTCAGATTCTGTGTGGACTGGTGAATGGAGGCCGCTTTGTGGGGCAGAGTGGCGTAGCTGGCCTGGTACGGCGGAACCGCGTAGAGAGCGGCACCAGCTGCATTCTTGTAGTTGTAGGCCGCGTTGTGGGCACCCATGTGCATGCCGGACGGAATGCCGATCATGGCCGTGCTCTGCTGGTACTCGGCGT